CGGGGGGGAAGGAATTAGTAGGGATATGTTCAATGCTATAGCTGTTACATTAAGGTTATACGGTATAATTAAATAGACGTTGATAGGATGAGGTTCAGGGGGTTGGAATTGAGAAACATTGAGCCGTGAGCTGAGCTGGGTGAAATAATAATAATCTTGGAGTCCGTCCCCGATACAGCACGGTGTAATTTTGGTAAATCGGTGACACGGGAAGCTCGGACCAACTAGCTTGAAGTTTCGGGCGTGGAGCAGGACCCAATTAGGACTAGCGGCGGCGGAGATTCTTAGGAGGCTTCTCGTCCAACTAACTATCCAACTAGATATATGCTTCATTAACTACGGTAAAAACAGAAAACACACCCTATTGCTCTATGTAGCTGCCGGGGAAACAAAACCTAAGCAAGAAGACAGGAATTAAAAAGCTTAAGACAACAAAATGGGAACATTCCTGTGACAAAAAAAAAAACCCTATTTTTGGAAAAGATGAGGAAAGGAGAAACCGAAGAAAAGAGTAAATGAAAAGACGGGGCAAAGGCCTAACATAATTAGAGTTTCATAGAAACCGAATGCAAAATAACACATCTTAAAACCAGAAATTAAAAAGCTGCCAGTGACGAGTTAGACGAGTTAAAACCATATTATGACGTAATCACAGAGTACACCTCTTAAATCTGCGAGTGGATACATTGCTTGTATGCGAAACGAGGGTGAATGAAAGGTGGGCGGGTTATATGGTATGAAGTAGACGGAGCCAATTAAGGAAGAAAACTTTGTCTATCCAGAGGGCTCAAATAATGCCTATTAATTAATTGGAAATCTTTTAGCACCAGTTTCCGAGAAAAATTAAAGAGTAAAAACGGAAAAAGGGAAAAAGAGAACTCACTCAGTACTCCGCTGCACAGACCTCCTGAGCAACCGATTATACTTTTTCTTATCCTCCTCAGAGCCCCAGAATAATTTCGACGCCTCTGGATTCACGGTCGTCCACGGGTTATAGGGCGGGGCCTCATCCTCCAGCGCCTCCACAATAGCCTCAATATGTGCCTTCATCTCCTCCATCTTCTTTGGGAAATAGCACAGAACCCCGTCCTTGGAGATACGATTGTGGAACAGGGGTGGCTTAACGATGACCCGCGGCTGTTCATCAGGGAACTTGGGGCTCAGGTAGATTCGGATCTGGAAAATGCCACCGTCAAACTGCGTCATGTGTTTACCAAAGTAGGTCATGTTCCAGAGGAACGGGTTCCCCTCCTCGAGGTCTAGATCGATCATGAAGTTCCCCCTATTCTTGAGATCTGCAACGGTCTGCTCGTGCTGCCGCTGGAGGTTGACGGCGATCCTAGTCTCGTCTTTTTTCGCCTTCATGCCCTCCGCAGCCCAACTTTCGGTCTCTTTCATGATAGTCTCTTTGATAAGGCCCAGGCGTCTACGAAGGTCTGGGTAACAGAAACGGCCATTCATAACGTTTCCGACGTTTTCAAAGGGCATCGTTTTGAATGCCTGTGAAGGGGTAACTTGGGGTTCTGCAGCGTCGATTGCGAGAATGTAAGATTCGTAGTACCATAGGAATCTGCGCTTTAGGAGATCTTCGAAAGGCTCAAAAGTTGGGCGGTCGTCCTCTCCGGTCAAACGATCCTCTTCCTCTTCCTCCTCTATAAACCCGGCAGGACATGGGGGAACGACCGTGCCATCCGATTGGATACCAAGGAACTCTTCGAGTCTCTGGATGACTGCAATCCGCAGAGTCTCATGTCGAATCTAGATAAGTGTAGCTGTTAGAGAGATAAAACATAAAAGGATGCCAGATTTGTTCTACATGGATACAGTGTGCGTTTACCTTGGCAACATATTGAGACATATTCTGTTGATCGTGGTCAGACCTGGCGTTCTCAAATCCAGGTTCGTTTTCATAGGGGTTAGCGGACATCAAACTCTGGATGGAAATCAGAACAGATTCCAAGCCTTGGGCTGAAGACCATTGCTCTCCACGCTCACCACGCCAGGTCCTTTGCTTGCAGTTAGCGACTATATTTTGAAACAACGTAAGAGTTCTGGGAAGAGAAAATTACCCTAGTATAGATCTAAATGATACTCGAGTTGTCAGTCAACCACGAAAGAAGAAAAGAAAAGAAAAGAAAAGAAAAGTATACATCTGAAGTTCCAGGGCAATAAGAGAGTTACCACTCACAAGCAAACTTTTCCAGAGGCGTAAATATTCGGGTTGTAGCGACATCGGCCGCCATTTGTAGTTGTACAATGAACAGTTGGTGGTGTTCCAGGGTAATCTAGATCAAAACACCAAAAAACCATGTTCAGTATTTTGATGAGCACAACATGCACGCGCGCACAGAGAGAGAGAGAGGAAGAATCCAAATCAAACCTTCGGGGAACCTGATCGAGAACTGTAGCTAATATGTCAGCGTGGTGGTTCATCGGATAACCGCGTAGATGGATGGATATTGGACTACAGGCCACAAACCTCGAAAAATCCAAACTCATAGGGCGTTTCATGAGGGCCCACGATCAGGGCCTTCATGCTACGGATATCTGATTCCTTGCAAGCCACCGCTAGGGCTGTGATGGGTATTGTATGTTAGCGTCTTTGAAACAATCGTGGGCAAATGGGGGCGCGGATGCCGCATGGTGACCCAGCAGCAAAGCATGCCAGCGACTTGCATGGATCTAAATAAGTAAAAACAAGACAGAAATCAAAATAAACAACAAAAAAGGAAGACTTACACAAGTCCGTGCCATGCTGAATCTGGCTAATTTCCTAATCACAGCATCGAGCTGTTAGAAATCCAAGGGAGAGAAAAAAAAAAAAAAAAATACCCTACCCATGCAGGACTTGTCCAACCATGAGAGAGGGAGTGGGAGGGATGTTTCATACACGGCCAATGCGTAAGATCGCTTGATTAGACATTTTCCTTTGCTATGAGAACGCAACCTGGCTGCTTGCAACGAGGAGACCTAAGTAGCAGAGGCCCTTTCGAGGGCCTGGGGGAAGATGAAGAAGGGCTAGGTCGAAGACAGCGCTTCAGGCCACCCGCTTCAATCTAGTTGAGACGGCTCTGGGGCTTTTTTGTTTCGTCAATTTGGGTGGTGTGGGTAAGGTGAGAAAGGAAGAAAGTGTGTAAGAAGATATTTTATGAATGAAGTGTGGGTGTGTGAGCCGGGTGTTCCAACAAGGTTTATTTCTTCTGTTCTTTTCTGTCGTTTCTTTCTTTCTTTCTTTCTTTCTTCTGTTGGATGTTTCCAGGGCAAACGGGTTCAAGATGAGAATGAATAATGAACACACAACTCAAAGAACAAGTGACGGAGATGTTCAAGTGATACAAGAGAAGAAGAGCCGGCAGGTTCCAGTCGCAGCCAGGCAGAGATGTCTAATACCTGATAGATAGATCCCTCTCTACTCTGTGTCAGGAGAGACAGCAGATCTAAGTTATAACACGGAGCTCAAAGCTGCAGTGCATCCAACATGGAAGCAAAACAAACACAATATGCCCTGAGCTCTCTTACTTAGGCTATCTAGGTATCTCAATTTCAACGGGAAGAAAAAAGGAAAAGAGAGAGAAAAATACTGCGTAGATACCAGAAATAAAAAGTGGGTTTACATATGATGAAAACTTTCTTTTGTCATTCTCTCTGTTCTCTCCTTCGTTCTTTATTTCTTTCCAGGCGAGGCTGACCAGTTGGCTGTGAAGTTCCCGACGGTGACTTGTCTTGTCTTGTCTTCAACGGCCAGCCAATTGTTGCTGTGAGCAGGGGAAGTATTTATTGCGGCTGGATCCTCCGCGTCGTCGCAGGGAGAGAGAGCAGAGAAAACAGAGAAAACAGAGAAAACAGGGACAGACAGGGACAGACAGGGACAGACAAGTAAATAAACAGACAAGGTCAGTGGGCGCTGAACCTACGAATTGAAGAACAGCACTAACTAGCACAACGTTCTTAAATAACGGGTGCAAGAAGCTGGTCGCTCAGCAGCGGGTTTGGTGGCTTGCAAACCTACGCAGCGGTACACTCCGTACAGTCTGTAGAGGCCGATAAATAAATATGATGATGCTTATTTCCGTCGGTTTGCTTTAAATAAGCGGTCCAACGACGACGGTGACCGTCATACTGAAACAGTTCGTTTGAGCTCCTTTGTCCACCACATACGCTACGCTGCGTATACGTTTTACATCCTTCCAGCTAGTTACGTTACAGCCTACTTGGTCCTTGTTTGCCTTGCTAGAACGCTTCTCGAGGCCCCAAGAAGTTTTTCGTCCAGATCACCCACCAGATATGCTCGTCCATGAAAGATAAATGACTTCAATAATGACTTCATATACGTAAGGCACTAGCCCCTCTTTCCACCAACCGACGACCGGTCCTATAGCTCAGTTGGTTAGAGCGTGGTGCTAATAACGCCAAGGTCGCGAGTTCGACCCTCGTTGGGACCATGCGGTTAAGCTTTTGATATTTTCGACATTTTATTTTATTTTTAATCTTGCAGGCTTGCAGCTGTATAGATAATAAGTAGTTAATGAGGAAGTGCAAAAAGAAGAATTTACACAGTCGTGCAGTCAACAATATCAGATATTTTTGATTTCCTTTCCCGGTTTGTCAGGAAAAACAAGTCATAAGAAAATAGAAGTAAAAAAAAAACCGAAAACGATTTCTTAGTGAATGGTCCCAACGAGGGTCGAACTCGCGACCTTGGCGTTATTAGCACCACGCTCTAACCAACTGAGCTATAGGACCTATCATTCGATGGAAGCGAGACGCCCGGGTTCATTCACTGTCTCTCAGGCACACCCAAATTTTGCTCCTAATTTTTGCCTCGAAGCGTTCGACAACCTCCTTCCTGTACATGCAAAACATACATGTATAAAGAATAAATGGCATTTGTCTCTTTGTCTCTCTGCCGTTCTACTTTATCTGGTTTGTTGTGGTTGTCTCAGGTTGATGATAAGTTGGCCATAAATCATGGTAGTCCCCTTCTCCTCCCAGCGACATACTTTTAACACTTGACAACAAACAAACAAATCTGTGAAATTGTGCTATGTGGATGTTTAATCAATAGGATATTGGCACAATGGCTAGTTTATTGTAATAGTCTGTTTGTTTAAGGTCGTTGAGCATTTCCCCTGAAGGCATACATATCTACATCCGTACGGAGTAAACATATATCAACATCAAGTTCCACTCTCTGTGTGTATCGATCCCAGAGCAAGGTAGCCTCCAGGATGAACCTTCCATTTAAACCAAAATACGGAGTATATGTATCTACAATTCCAATGCAATACCACTACTTTACTCTACTTCTATGAGCACTCCCAGCCCGCCGTCCGCCCTCTGTCCATAGCTCGATATGTCACGGGGCTCCTCCGATTGGGTAAGTGCCTCGGCCACGGGCGGCGAAACCTCCCTCCCCCGACCTGTCCTCAGCCATTCCGTCGACTCCGTCTCCAACAAAACCAGCTCCACAAAATACCAAGATACCCAAGCCCTACAGCGTGCGCCCTCAAGCCACGGTACCCAAACACCAGCAGCAATGCAGCACGGCATACAAAGCGCCAACAAGAACAGGAACAAGGATAGCAATGATGCAACCTCAGCGGACGCCATCCGAATCCGCGACAACCAGCGTCGATCCCGCGCCCGGCGCAAGGAGTACCAGCAGGACCTGGAGCGGCGCGTGCAGAAGTTTGAGCAGCAAGGAGTACAGGCTACAATAGAGGTACAAACTGCGGCTAGGAAGGTTGCGAGGGAGAATACCCTGCTGCGATCGCTGTTGAAGCTGAAGGGGGTCGCCACCGCGGAAATCGACGAATACATCTCGAATGCGAACGGGGGTGAGAACGGGGCGGCCATGACTTTGAATGGAAATGGAAATGCAAAAACGAACGTGAACGGGAACGGGAATGGGAACCTGAATCAAAATAATGATAGACTTAGGGCTGGAATAGGGTTTGCGCAATTGCAGCCTGCAACTTCTCCCAACTCCACGACCGCGTCTCCCTCCGTCCCTCTACCCACTCCCACGACAGCCGTGTTTCCAAATACCATGAACCAGAACCAAAATGAAGGCCGGAACGAGAATCAGCCTTCAATTCAACTAGATAATTACCCTTCCTACTATCCAGCAGAGCAAGCTACCGTCCAGCCTTCTCCCCAATACGTCGAATCCCCCAGCGGTCAAAATATACCTAGCTCTGCCTCCGCCTCCATTTCCACCTCCACCTCCTCAATGTACTCCCCCACCGCCAGCTTCACGAGCGCAAGTCTTGGCCCGCCCACAAATAACGACCAACAATGTCAACCCCAGCCTTCATCATACCAACCATACGCAACCCCAATACCCTATGCAGCGTCCAGATACCCCCAGGGCCTCCACAACAAAACCACCAGCAACAGCAGCAGAAACAACAACAACAACAATCACTCCAACTCCCCCTCCAACTCCACCCACCAGTCCCTTCCACCCAACCGCACCCGTACCGCCCATCCCCGTCCCACGCCCACGCCCACGCCAACCAACCCCAATTGCAACTCCCAAACACTCAGGCCCCCTATTCCAGCCCGACAGACACCACACTCGACTCGACATCCTGCGAAGTCGCCGCGAGCATCATCGCGAGCATGCGCGGACACGGCGACGCGGACTCCGTGCGTGCAGAGCTGGGTTGTTCACCCGGCGGCGCGCCGTGCCAGGTGGGCAGTATGGAGATTTTTAGAGTGCTGGATCGCTCTATTGGGAGTTGTCGGTGATGATTTTTCTTTCTCTGTTACATAGTTAGTCTGCGTTTTGCGGGGTGCCCTGGAGTTTGAGGTTCTGATTTGTCTGTATGTATGTATGTATGTATGTATGTATATTTATTCCATATTTGTCTTTTTTTTTGGAAAAAAAAAAAAAAATGTCTGTTTGGTGTAGCGTTGATGGATTAACGGGTGTCCGGGCGGCATGCTCATATGTTTCAATAATGGGGAAAGATCTGTTGTTGAATCAGTTAGTGAGGGCATCCGCGCGAGCCTTGATCATGATATGACTGACACATGGGATTTCTGACTAATTGTTCATGATCTGAATAAGGAATGGAGAGATGGGGAGCAAGGTAGGGGCATTGGTTATGTTCGTCTACTGCTAACTACCATATGGGTAGCCTTTTTGGGTTACTATGTCATTTGTATATAAGTTAATAATTACATGGGGCTTCCCCGCTCAGCAATAGTGGTATAAGCAGCAGACTGATCTATGCAGGATTACCCTCACTATTAATAACTATAAATGCTCAGATTTTCGTCCCAGGTACACCTGGTCGTTTAGAATTTTTCAAGCCCGTGCCCCGTGAGGCCCTCTCCTCCCAATGAGTCTCTCAGTTCTTCAGTAAGCCTCCGTGTGCACTCTGTTGCTAGTTTATTTGTAACGAAAGACATGTAGAAGACAGAATAGGCAATTTGTGGAATCTGATGATTGAGAGAGTAGATTTGACCGACAGGCAGCAGCGCGTTGAAAACGCTCAAAGAGTTACTGACAGAACATGGATTTTCTTCTTGCAAGTCTAAATCAAAATCCGGATTGTGTTGCATGCTAACTAAGAAAAAAAACTACCACGCCATGGCTAATAAAAAAGAGAGGGGGGTATATTTTGGAAAAACAAGGACGGTGCTGGTACAAATTCCTCCGATATTCACCATCACACTCTAGGCGGTGCTTGACCAATAACGATATCGGCGTGACCCTCGGATGCCCGATGGTAGGCCCGAAGCTCCTGTTGACCAATTGCTCTAACTTCGCCAAAGATACCTTGGTGGCCCGATCCGATACAATTATTGAAATTGCCCCATGTGTCCAACTTGCACGAACATTTATAACCCCCGAACGATTTGCGTTCTATGTATAGTTAGCCAAACTAGTTACCTAGAGCTCGGACATAACAAGACTAGAGAGGAAGTTTTTGCATACCATGAGGGTTTTTGAAAGAGATGCTTATTCGGTTTAAGCCCTTAAATGCCGCATGAGGGTAGTCTTTGCGACGGGTAAAGCCTAGTCCCGCTATGTTGAAATCTGCTACCCCCTCATTCGCGACAAAGCGCTGAGCTTCCAGGCAATATTTTCCTTTGGCCTGCTCGATGGCCGTGATAGCACACGAGCTATTAGCTTTCCGACAGTCGCACCGTTCTACATTCACAGCTGTTTTGTCATCGATTTTGATCGCCGTAATTGCTAACTCGTTCGCGCCAACAACGCTCCTAGAAAAAATCACAAGCAACGGCCTTTTCGGTTTTTGATGGAGGAAGCCATTGGTATCGCCCATGTTAACTACAGTTACTGCGCTTTGGCTGGTTTTACTGGAGATACTGGTCATTGTTGAGCTCCTTCGGCTGGAGTAAGGCGTTAGCGACGGAAAATTTATGCCTGCATGATCCCCACTACCCATTGACCCTCGGCTAGAATCAGACGGAGCTGTAGAACTACTGTAGGAGCCAAGTGATCGTTGGTCAGCCGGCTGTGTACTAGAACGGTTTGCCGCAGAGAACAGGCTTTGTGGGCTCCCAGAAAAAATGTTGAGTGGGCTGGGCGGAACACTGCTTCTCGGAACTGTTATTGGACTTGTTGGAAGTATGTCGTAATTTTCTACCCACGGTTCTTCGGCCCGACTCTGTTCCTCTTTGACAAAATATCCTTGCAATCGCTTGGGTATCCAGAGTTGTACAACGGCATCTTCGACGATTGGTTTTTCGTCGGATACTACGAAGGCAACTTTTGCATCTGGTCTAATATAAGGGTTAGAAAGCGCAAGATGTTGAGGTAAGGGGGGATTTTTGCGAGACATACTGCGAGTAGGATAGGTATGGCTTGTACCCTGTGAAGGCATGCTGGAACCGGAGGAGATCCTTCATGGAAGGAAAGGAAATTTTATTATCTTCACCGGGCGTCCTCAGTAGGACGTCGTTGGTATCGCGGGAGAAAGTGGGCATTGCGTAAAGCGGAATTAAACTTGCGGATTCGAGATTAACGTCAATTATACGCCCTGTTAGTGGGATTAGAAAAAGAAGCTACGGTGGAAGCGTGGCAGTGACTCCATACTCTCAGGTATAACCGTCCCGTTTTCCAGCTGCTCCTCAGCTGTAACAATCAAACAATGCTGGGAAGGCATATCGTTTAAAATTTGTAAAAACCGTAGAGATGTTACTACATTCGGCGAGTCACTCTGAAGGGGTCTGGAATAAAATTAGATCGTAGGTTTTATAAATAGAAATAGAACAGAAAAAACATACACAGTGATGATTTCCTTCATCGCACGCTTTCGATGTTGTCCAGAGGGAAGATTACTAGTTCGTCGAATTTCCGGCCAAATATGGAATACAGATTGCTCTAATCTTGCGCGTGACAAGTCCGGGGCAAATATGCGATCTATACACTCCGGAGAAAACCGCCTGCACTCGTGTGATAACTCCTAGTACAATATCAGTCGACTGCTTCTATATGAAAAACTTCAGGGGTCAGAATAAACTAGTTGGATAGTGATAAGTGTACCTACCTGATTTAGCGCCCTCACATATGATGGCCAATGAGATAATTCTGAGCCCTCACTGGCCTGGTATCCTTCCATGTGTTTCATGAGCCATATACATTTAAGCAAGTTGACATAGGCAATGACGGAGACGGTCCTCTGGGCGATCAAATCGAATCGAGCTGCCTTGAGCTTTGCCGTGCCTTTTCCAAAGTGAAAAACGAATGCGTTGGCGGTATCCGCGAGAGGCAGTTGCCTTCCATTGGCAAACTCGGGATGATTGATCTCTGCGGCTTGCTGAAATTTAAGCGAGAAATTTGGAGGAATTTCAATGACAAAAGTTTCGTCTTTCCGCTGGTGGTCCATCTCTTCTTTGAAATCTGGGACTATCACTCCCATCAGGCGCCGCAGGTCGTTATGCATACTGCTCATCCGAGCAGCAAGATCTTGATGGACGCGGAAGAGAAGATCGATCTCGAAGGGCTTAAGAACAAAAAATATTTTCAGGTTGTGTAAAGATATCCGGCTCCGCAAACGATCGACGTCTGGCTGCACAAAGCTGTTCCATGATATGCCTCGACGAGGATCGGACACATTATTATATCGATAATTGTCTCGAAGTAGCTTTTCACAATGCTGCAGGGTCTCGTGATAATCCCCGAGTATCTCATTCAGCGAAGACAAATCCCAGAGTTGCTTGGAGTCTCTTGACCGCCCTAAGGGGGAGGTCTCAAGTTGGAATGTAGCATTTGAAGCCACGCGATAGATGTTTTCTAGGTTCGTTGCAAGAGACTTAACGTCATTGGCAAACTCCTTGTATTGTGTGCCTATGATGGCACCTTTATGTGAGTAAGAGAACTTGGTGGTGAATTTAAACGTTCGCAACAAGAACGAAGATGTTGATATGGTTTTTCTTGTTATTTTATTTGGGGAAGATTTTATCGAACCACAGTGGTGAGAAAAGGAAGACTAATGAAGGTATTCACTACTTACTTGGTTTCAACTTCTTCTCGAAAGCGAAATTATATACCTTCCAAGCCAGTTGACTTAAGACCAAAACATCACTGATTTGAACAGGGAGGGCCATGGAAGGCTCGAAAGCGGCCCCTCGATATTTCAGATTTTAACTTTTGATAGATTAGATTTGGTCCTCGGAAGCGGTTATTAAGGCTAATAATGCGATGTTTTCGACCTCCTGTTATTCATGCAGCAATTCGATATGCAGAAACCCTACCTAGAGAGAAAAAAAAGTGTTCTTTGCAGATTTGCGGATGAAGATGGAGGTGGAATAGGTGGCTGTGCAAGCCAACCATGAGGATGTTACTCCCTGGCAGCGACAAACGACCTCTTTATTTTGGTTTCCCGACTGAGAGTCATCATAAGCTCTCGGCATGGATGTATCCAGGGGTTGAAGGGTTGGCCTCCTCCTTACGGAGTTGCATCCATCCGAGGCACAGGGCCCATAAGGTGGTCCGTGACTGATGATACTCTTCCTTCCCCACTAGGTTAATTTCACTCCAGGGACCGGGCCCGGGGGAGAGGAAGCCAAGCGGACTGGCGAGTTATTTACTACAGCGCAGATGCAGTTCTGATGCAGTGAGAGCGTGGGTTCCCACCGCAGCGCCGCAGCAGGGACAAGCAGGGAATGGTGCTTTGGTGGCTTGCCAAGGATGGATGCTCATGAGAGCATATGGTTCTCGCTGCCTGTGCTTCGTCCACGTTAGCGAACTCCCAAGAGTGGGCTATGTATGGCTTCTGGAGGAGCATACACGAGCCTGAGCCTGAAGAAACGCGAAGAGAAGAGAGCTTTGACATGCGGCTCTGCGCCTGTGGTTGGCAGCTGCCCAAAAAGGGTGGTTGCGGCTCTGGGGGAACCACAAGGCAGATTCGTCGTTGATGTCAGTCAGAAGAAGCATAATCCTGACTACTGTTAAATACTACTCTCCACTTGCTTCACCCTTCTCTCTCTCTTGTCCTTCTGCAAGAGGGCTAATACGGAGTTGATTTCGTTGGTGATTACCATGTTGGCTCTCTGACTGAACCCACGCCCCTTGCTCCGTGCTCCGTGCTGCACTGTAAATCAAAGCTGCAGCGATGGCCATATCGACGGCACTTAATGGAGATCCCCCTCACATTTCTGACAGCGACAGTGATCGGTTCCGGCCTGTCCTTTTGGACAACGACCCCAATGCCATCGTCACAGATGCTCCGGAAGAGCCTTTCCGATTGGGCCGTCTAGATGTTGGCTGCCTCGTCATAAACAGGATGATAGGTGCGCGCAGCTTCTTCTTCTTCTTCTTAACTCTAACTCCATACTTTGTATCTTCGAATCTCTCCTTTTCTCTCTCTGTGTTCAGTCCTCAAACCAATTGACTCACATATACGTGGTTAATGTTCTCCAGGGACGGGGATTTTTTCGTCGGTTGATTTCGTTGTTCAGGGAACGAGAAGCATCGGGGTCTCCCTGTTATTCTGGTTCTTCGGTGTCATATATTGCCTTGCTGGAGTGCATCTATACATCGAATATGGCCTTAGCACCCCAAGACGTCGCTTCGAAGGGGTCGAACAGGGCATTCCCCGCAGTGGAGGCGACCTTAACTATGTATGCTCTAATACTTTCTACTCAGATGGCTTGAATTTGACTGGGTACTGAAAGTTACTTACAGCTTCAGTATGTTTACCGGAAACCGAATTATCGCAAAGGCACAGTGCTCCTCTCTGTCACTACGTTTGCCGCGGTTTTCATTATGTTTGGCAATGTTGCAGGAAACTGCGTGAACTTTGCTGTGAGGGCGCTTCAAGCTTCAAATGCAGAAGTGACCAACGAGGCTGTGCGAGGAATTTCCATCGCAGTAGCTCTTTTTACCTGCTTTATCCACACCTTGTCTCGCCGTGGCGGCATCCTTTTGAGCAACCTATTTGCTATGGTCAAACTTGCAATGCTATTTCTGATACTCATTGCTGCCATTGTCGCTGCCACAGGGGCTTTCCCACAAACCGAGTCTGCCGCTACTAAAAACTTTGATCCTGAGACCTCCTTTCGTGGCGCGTCTACCCAGGCCAATGACTACGCGAATGCCTTCTTATTGATAAGTTAGTCAACTAAATGGTGGTTCTCTTTGCGATATTGCTAACGCTAGGTCCAGTTTTCACTTTCAGCGGGTTTGAACAACCCAACTATGTGAGTGGCTTATGTGATCATGAAGAGATACGTATGTTCAGTTCTAATGCGATTTTTGCAGGTCCTTGGTGAGATTTCAAGACCCCGGCGTAATTTTCCCGTATCCATGATCACCTCTGTCTCCCTAGTTGGCATACTCTACATGTCGGTCAACATTGCATATGTGAGCAGTCAAGATTTTTCTGCAAAAGATCCGTTTGATATGCAACCAATATGCATTCCACCTGCTAATCGCAATTAGATGGCTATTGTGCCCAAACCCGACCTATTTAATGAACAAGTAAACCTTGCTGAGAGATTTTTCGAATTAACTTTTGGAAGACTCAACGTTGGTGATAACACTGGCCAAAGGATCTTCAACGCTTTCCTAGCTGTCTCTAGCTTCGGAAATATAGTTGTCATGACCTACACAGCCGCGCGAGTGAAGCAAGAGATAGCAAAGGAGGGGATACTACCATTCCCCAAGTTCTTTGCGAAAAATCGCGACTTTTCATTCGGTCGACTACTTCGATGGGCCCATCGCCGTCCTACCTTAGCGCGATTATTCGGACGGATATTGAAATCGCCATGGTTCGCTCCCGAACATCACTCTGAAAAGACACCAGTGGGGGCTCTAACACTTCATTTCGGATCCTGTTTGGTTCTACTCATGGCTACGTACGGTGTGGAGCCGAATAATACTTACAGCTTACTTTCGAGAGTATACACATACGCCGTCCACACGTTTTTCGGAGTCCTACTCGCGGGCGGGATCCTGTACCTCCGGCTCAATGGCAAGGAAGGATGGCGAAAGAAAGCGGTCGGCATTAACCCGTTCCTCAGCCTTATGTCAGCCATAATTTACCTTTTCGGGAGCTTATTTCCGGTCATTGTCTCCTGGGTTGAGCCTAGCGGGGAATTCAAACGGGTCTACACAACTACAATCAAGTGGTATCTGGTCCCCCTGCTTAGCTGGTCAGCAATCGCCTTCGGGGCAGTGTGGTGGCTGGGATTTATCATTCTTGGCAAACGAACTGAGAAGCGCACCGGCACTGTATTTACGATTCAAAGAGAGCCTACGTTTGAGCGCGATCCCCCTGTTGATGGGCCGCCCATCCAGGTCAATGAGACTGTGTATTTTGCGTGGGTCGCCAAGGAGAACCTGCCAGATGGGCAGGATTCAGAGGGTGGACAGGATGATTTTGCCAGCCATGATTTTGCCAATGGTGATTTCGCGGGGATGAATGCCATGACGGATTTCGACCATCATTTAAGGCAGTAAAGGTCCATCCTTTCATTACCTCTCTCAACAGCGAGGGTGCTCGTTAATGACACTATCGATATCCAACAAACATATACTTGCAAGTTTCAGGCGATTTCTAGCGTTGTTACTTTATATATATACATATATATGTACGTTGCTTCCCACTTCCCGGCTATGTTTTTCTCTGGTTTAGATGGGTTCACGTTTATGCTAGTAGTCTCTGTACTTATTTTACTTCACGGAAAGGTTAATCGGGATAATTAAGCATAGTCATAAGTTTTCCCCCGTCCCCCACCTCCTACCAAGTAGGATAACGCACGTTAGTAGGTCTCCGTTGTTTGCCATTTTATGTAGGCAAAAAACATCAGCTCTTGCGCAGTTACATAGCTATCTATACAGGCAGTTGTGGTGGCAGGGCAGTAAACGTTACTGTGTTAGTCCAGGAAAGGGCCCTGTTGAATTTAACCCAGGGTCCAACAGCTACATACTCCGTACACTAAAGTGTACTCTAGCTATATCTTGTCTGGAGTTTCCTGTAAGTCAAGTTAGACGCCTGGGTAATTGCCCAACTAGGCCCCCTGGTGCCTAGGTGTGAGGGAGGGATCGAATATCGAATCTGCTTTCGATTGGATATGTGTATAGAAATCATGGTACCACGCCCCCGTTCCTCACGCCACAACGCGAGAACAGCGCCTTCGGAGACCGTTTATCATGTTTCATGTTTAGGGTATAAATTCAATTTAGTTTTATATATTATATAAAATATCATGGGATATATAATGCGTTTCAAACTTAGGGCGGAAGAATCTTCCTTCCCCCGTTTCAACAACCCCTCTTTTTCGAAGCCAGTGATGGACATGGGGTATTCAAAAAACACAACTTCGTCAACCCCCTTGAAAAAGCAGGCATATATACAAATGCACATAATAAATGCACATAATAAATGCCGCTTATTTAGTTTTTGACAGCATAGATTTTGAACGAACCTATATGTATTAATAATTAATAGCAGGGTTAGCTTTATCAACATGAAAAAAGAAACGTAGAGAGAGATCCAAGAAACTCACCGGCCCACTCGTTGAAATCAACATTCTTAAAATCAGCCTTGAACCCTTCAGAGAAAATCCCGGGCCCACGCTCAATCTTTGCTCGGGTAGGGCCGCAGCAGGGTGTCGGCTCGGGCTCCTTCACTACACCGCAGCAACCACCGGCGGCGCTCTTGGGGTTATCCAGTGCTGCCGTGTAGATGTTCAAATCATTCTTCGCATCGACGATGAGGATGTCTAGTTAAAGGTTTTAAAAGTAAGTATATGCCAACCAAAAAAAAAAAAAAAAAAGGTCCAAACCCAAAGAGGTGGAAGAATCACAGAAGCAAAATGAATAATAGTTATAGGGGAAAAAAAAGTGAAAACGCACCACCAAACCCGGCCTCCTTCAAATACCTCTCATAATCCTCCACCCGGCTCGCTCCCGCAATGCACCCGACATACAGCGCAATACTCTCCTTAAGCTCCGGCGTCAGCTCCTTCCTGGTTAGGATATCGCTGAGCGCAACGCGGCCGCCCGGTTTCAGCAGGCGGGCCATCTCGTTGAACGCGAGCTGCTTCTCTGCCTCCGGGACGAGGTTGACGACGCAGTTGCTGATGATGCAGTCAGCGACGGCGGCGGGGAGGTTGACGGCGGTGATTTGCGATTCGACGAAGGTTACGTTGGCCGCGGCGGGGCCGACTTTTTCTTTGTTGATGTTGGCGCGGGCGAGCATGTCCTGTGGGGGTGTTTAGAAGTTAGAAATTGTGCTTTTTGGGGAGAGAGGGGGTATATAGTATGTCAATCATGTATCCTGCATGCATACCTTGTTCATGTCAATGCCGTATACTTTCCCATTCGGGCCGACGTTTTTCGCAGCGAGGAAGGCATCGATTCCCGCTCCGCTACCGAAATCAATCACGGTTTCGCCCTGTAATGATCGAGTTAGTATATTGTGTATCAATAAACGATAGAGGGGCCACATTTTGAAACCAGCAGAAAGAAAGAGGGGGAAGAGAAAAGGGGAAGAGGGGCAAGCAAACCTCATTTAATTGCGCTAGAGCAAGAGGATTTCCGCAGCTCAGACCCAGATTCGCGGCCTGCGGGATACTGGCGAGCTCCTCCTTGGAATATCCAAAGGCAGTGGCCACGTCGCGGCCATATCTTTCGTCGCTGGTTTTGGCAGCGGAGCTGTAGTGTTTCTGGACCTCTTGGTACACCTGAGATTCGGCCATGGTGTAAATATGTATGTATATGGAGATACCAAAGAAGGCTTTTCTTCTTTTAGCAAGGGTTTACGGCGTAGTTATAACTGATGAATAATTGTACAGGAGTATTCCTATTTTATTTTATCTTATATCTTATATCTGAATTCAAGCAGAAATAGGTTTTAAGGGAGGTAACTAGGTGGTTGATATAGACCAAGCAAGCTTCCTCATTCTATCCAAACGATATGTCACTGCTGGCGTCTGTAGTGGACAGCGAACCAGCCACAGCAGAGGCAGGGTTCCACAGCCAAGTTTTGATTGTTGTCCGGGCCCTTCAAGTCCTCTCGTTAGAGTTGTTACAGCGCTGTCTGGCCCGTCGAGATCTGGTGGTGATGTATGTATGTATTTAGGGCGTGTTCGGATATCAACTGATTCTGTTGAACGGCAATTTCTTTGGAAAAAATAAAAAATAAAAAACTTTCTTCCACTTCTTTCGATATACAATATTCTGTTTAAGATCAGTGGCTATGTGGCTAGGCTGCTGTAAATATTGTAAGAAGTCATGATTATTTAGTTATTTATTATTTATTTATCACCAACCCCCACATGCCGAGGGCGATATGTCACTCTGTTCTTGGCGCAGATTTAGTAATTAACAAGAATTCAGTGGAACCCTTTATTTTATTTTATTATTTATTTATTTATTTATTTATTTTAACTCAACACAGTCCTGATGTCCACTCCCACTAATCTTAAAAAGAACAATAACAATGACGATGACTCGCGCAAGTCACAAAAGAAGAGCCGTGACCACACCCTCACACGAGTGCGCAATAACCAGCGCCGTTGTCGTGAGCGCCGCCGCCAGTATATAGCTACCCTGGAGCAGAAGGTTCAAGAAACGGATCGTCTGCTTAATGAAGCTCGCGCGGAGATTGCTAAGTTGAGATCTGAATTAATGGAGTGCAGGTCCCATCGCCCCTTGGATCCGGATCGCGATAATCAACTTGCTGCGGGTGGGGGGAGTTCAGCAAGTAGTAGTAGTGGTGGTGGTGGTGGTGGTGGTGGTGGTCGAGGGGTTGACTCAATAGACGCAGCACCTTGGAGTATATCTTTCGGCGAAATGGGTGGATATAGACATGTATCCGGGCATGATAATCAGGAGGAGGAGCGAGAATTGCTTGACCTGCTCCCTTCCCCGATTCCCGCTGAACTCGACGACTCCTGGGTTGCCTCTTCCACATTCTACGATCAAACCGTAGATATTGGATACAATAATGTTATGCCAAACCCTCCTCCCCTCCAACAAGTGGACATCCTATCGTCGCCTTCCCCAGCTCTCATCACAAAACCTTGCGGAACAGCTGCCTGTGGATCCAAACCCCCAGACGCCATCGCCGCAGACGCCGGAGCAGCAACCACCCCGCCCACCGCATCGCTCTCACTTAGCACGATCTCAACACCAACTCTGACAGCACTACAACTACAAGACCTGGTCCTCCCAAATATTCCCGCATCACTCCTCATCATCAGCAGCAGCAGCAGCAGCAGCAGCAGCATCTACACCCTCTCCCCAGCCGACGAATCCACAACGTCCTGCGCGCAAGCCTTCATTTTTATATCCCAGCAGAACTTCAAGGGGGTTGACGCATCGGTGATTGAACGATGGCTGTGTTGCGGGTTCCGGCAGGCTACAGATCCTCGAGAGGGGTGTCGGGTGGAGAATAACTTACTCTTCCAGGTGTTGGATTTCATCAGTGGCCCGTGAGGGGATGGACATATTTATATGTATATGTGTATATCATATCATATATACTCGGAGAACACTACTTTGCTCCATTTCTCAAGTCCCCATTTCACGGACGGACGGACGGCAGGAGTATGTGTGGACCTGCGTGCAGCAACCCATCTCCACCGTCCTTTTACGTGAAGATATATTCTGGGGTGATTATTATTTCACAATCGATCGGGAGGTTTTTTTAGCCCTCGATCGTGGTATCAAACGCTAAATCCAGCACTGTGCTATGCTACTTTGGCAACGAAGATACCAGCGGCGAGGCGCCTAATGGCAGGAGCAGAACATGTACATGTACTTCTCGATATTGGGCTCCGTTGAATTCTATTTGCGGATGCTTAGCTTTGCTAGCTTCCGTTCCAGCTGTGGGCAAGAGCTATTTAAATAAGGGGGTCTTCGTGGCTCGATGGGTAGAAAGAAACTGCTAAATTGCTCAGGGGCTGAAAATAGCCAGCTAGGGATTGAAAGAAGTTGGAGAAATTGTTTTAATTTCGAGGCCGGAATGGATGGCGTGTATCCGAAGTGATTTATTGAATCTATTATTTTATTTTGTATATTAATTACCTAGACACCCAGGCAGTATTTTTTGTTCCTTTCTTAATGAAACTTGCTCAACTATATTGTGATGTGTGTTGAGATGACTAACACTCGAAACCGGATACTATTGGTCTGAGAAAGAGTCTCTTGCTAGAAACAGCTAGTTTCAATCTTAAGCCGAACAGGTCTAATTAGGTCTACTCTTGGCCCTTCAACCATCAACCAACCATCATCGGCCTGCGCTGTAACTAACACGATTCCTCATCCAATACCAACCCCCCTTGCGCATGCGCCGACACCTATCCCTGCCTACACCTTGGCCCGTTGCGGAATACATATTTTTGTCTTTGCATAATTACACTTCGTACTATCTAGCAATCCCCCCAATTCAATTACCAAACGTCCGGACCTTGCCCGCAAGGACGAACCCAGCTCCGTTGCGGAGAGCATCCTAAACAACAATGTACGTTCTGTCCTTACACAAAAAACTCCCGAACGACAAAGACCATTCATTGCTAATGCTGATGCGTCTTCACGATAAATAGGGCCGTTTACTCGCTCATCATCATAAACAAAGCGGGTGGGCTAATATACAACCGCGAGTTCCAGTCGGGACTATTGAAGCTGTCTACGAATGACTACCTGGTGCTGGCGGGGACGTTTCATGGGTGCGTATCCATATACTCATAATAAATGATTTTATCAAAAACGCACCTGGCTAAACAACTCCCAACCCTCCGCCCCCCCCCGGAGTGTCCATCCCGCCGTAGAATCCACGCAATAACCCGCTCCCTCACACCGCGCCTCCCCACAAGCCCCACGACCACTTCCTCCGCCTCAACCACAAGCACAGGCACAACAATCCCCTCACACGCCCACGCCCTCTCCTCCTCTTCCTCCATCAGAAGCCCTCTCTACCCCCCAAACACCACCAGCAGCAGTTCCTCCCTCCCACCCACCGGCACCACCAGCACCACCGGCGCCGAGACAAGCACCACCTCCGCCCTCCCGCCCAACACCACAGTCCCCAACCCCTCCCAACCCATAACCGGCATAGAGGTGCTCGAAACCGACAAGTTCCGCCTCACCTGTTTCCAGACGGTGACGGGGACTAAATTCCTACTCTTCACGGACCCGCTGATGGCCGGCGTGGAGACGGTCATGCGCAAGATCTACGAGCTGTATGCGGACTATGTGATGAAGAATCCGTTTTATCAGCTGGAGATGCCGGTCAGGTGCGATGCGTTTGATAGGCACGTAGCTGGGTGGGTCAAGGGGAGGGGGTAGCGGGTTTGCTTTTTGTGTTGTGATTGGTTTGTTTTAAGTGCAAGTGTTTTGTTTTGTGGTGGTGGTGGTGGTGACGATGATGATGATGATGGTTGAGGGATAGATGCAATATACCCCGTTGAAGATTATGGATTAGTGTTTAGAGTTTTCGCCGTTCTTTACGTGACTTAATAATGGAATAATGGCATGGTGGGATGGATATCTGGCGTTGGGTTGAGTCTATGGTTTATAGAGATTAAAACACACGAAATGCATCAAGCATAAGGGAATGGAAGATTTAGATATCTAGGTACATCAGTACAGCAACAACGTAAAAAGATTTTTTTTTTTTAAAAAAAAAAAAAATATAACCATCAGTTTTAATTATGCTGTATCCATCTTATCCCCATCATCTCCCTTATCCTTATCATCCCCCTTCCCCGCGTTCGAACCACTCCCGCTCGGTTCCCCATCCTTATTAAGAAGCGGCTGTGTCTCTCCGCCCTCCTCTGCAATCCCTTCCAAGGCCGCCTTCTCCTTCTCCGCCTTCTCCTTCTCCTCCTTCTCCTTCCTCTCCTTCTCTATCCGCGCCTGCTCCTCCTCAAGCGACATGCGCAGCGCAAACGCCAACTCCGGATCCGCAGCAGGGTCAAAGCCAATATCAACACCCCCCTCAACCCCTTCCTCACCACCCGCGCGGCCCGCACCCATCGCATCCCCGCCGAGAATCGGCGTCGTGAGCAACGAGTCGCTAAGCAGGTTCGCACCCGGGTGTATTACGGCGAGATGCGAGCCGTCGGCGCCATTAACGTTCTCGTTGAAGGCTTCGAGTTTCTTGATGGTGTCGTCGTCCAGGTCGCCGAAGGCGACGAAGTCGACGGAGACGTTATATTTCTTCATGCGCTTGGCGAGTTTGATGAGGGTCTTTTCATCCTCGGCGATGGGGGAGCAGGTGAAGACGATGATTCGTTGGCGTTGGGCGCGTTCGCGTCGGTGCTTGAGGGCTAGCTGTAATTTTATTTCAATATTTGTTATTATTTCGCCACATGGTTAGGGGGGTTATCATTATATAAATGAGAAAGGGATTGTGGGGGGGGGTATGGTCCTTACGCCGGCGACTTGTATACTGGAGGCAAGATGTGCTTGTCCCCGGATCTTTGTTCGATGCAGGCCGTCTAGAATCTTCCCGATATCCGCCGTCAGGGTCACCAGAACCTCTGGACCTTTGCCGGCCATACTCATGAGCCCGACTGACGATTCGGGGTTGGCTTGTGTCTTTGCGGAGTGGATTAGGTTGATAGCGTCTGCTTGGGCGTCGAACCGTGTTGGACTGATTCAAGGTTAGATTACCGATTTTATACCACGGCACAGGATCTCCTTTTGATAGTGATTGAAACGTACAGATAGTCCCCATTTCTACTACTCTCGCTGTTATCGACACTGTTTGGGAGTAATATATACGGATTAGCTGTAGCTGCTATATATGTATGTAGCCTGTCAGTTGAGGAATGGATGACGGACATAATCATGGTGGCTTCGAGCACCATCTTGGCTGTAGGTGCACCTTGGGAAATATGTGAGTGTGAGGAGAGATTGAATGGGGGGATATGGGAGAGGCAGGGTAAAAGCGCAACGAGTTGTGTAAGTTGAGTAAGTTGAGTAAGTTGTGTACTGTGAATGGTCTTGGAAATGAAAAATGAAATGGAGTTGATGTGGAGATTGGGAGATGAAGCTTGAATTGCAGATGATGCAGAGGTTCGGTTGCTGTCCCAACTGGGTCTAGCGCCATCCGTTGATGCAAGCAAACTCCTTTTTCTTTCTTTTCTTCCTTTTAATCTTCCTTTGCTCTCTTCATTACGCAGTAACTATTCATGATGGATAGATCAATTCGAACATTTACATGGTAAGATTACTCCTTATTATCTTTGTTCCCTGGAGGAATCTTTTTTGATGCCTGATGAAAAAGCGGATTTAACAATGGCTGCTGGCCCTGCGCATCTGTCCACGACAACAGCACGACAACAACAGGGGCAGACGCGACGCCCAGAGCAGCGCCTGAATGGTAGAGCAGCAGAGGAGAGTTGGAGAAATTGTTCTTCCTTTGTCTATGGATTTGACTGTCTAATAAAAAGCTATTTGATATTCCACCGATAAATTTTCCCATTCCCATATTCCCATATTTTTAGTTTTTACGACTAAGAACAGAATATTAATACCTACAAACAAGCGTCGAAAGATCCAAATGTTGGTAATTCAGTATTAACCGGCAATAATAACTGGGTTTCAAAGGTATGAACCGACAATCTCAACAACTCGATGTTAATTCCCTTTTCTTCCATTTATTGTATGTACATTACATGTACATGTACATACATCTTACATGTACTTATTCTTGACGTACCTTGCCGAACGGCAATAAAGCCCACTGGATATGGAAAATAATGCTTACTAGCACTCAAATGTTACTCGCTGCATCCCGATCTTCTGAACTCGGAAACCTCATCCCGCGATAAATCTATTTATTAGTGTGCTCCCAGAGTTAAAGTACGGTCCTCCTGCTGATGTGTTGCTGCATTCTATTATTTACTACACTGAGTATTTAGTTTATCGTGTAACAGGATATCAAGCTCCTTTAGAGTTAAGCTAAAGGTATTTAAATAACCTTAATTCGATCCCGCTTCTTTCCACTAAAAATAAATGACGTTTTGGATTCAAATTCCCCCATTGCATGTTCCCATGGTGACCACCACACATCAACAAACGGCCGACGATATGACTTCCGCCCATCGCCAGTCTTCTTCTTGTTTGAATTTATATATATATTTATTCTCAGCACGCGACTTTTGTCGGGCGAAGACTTGAGAATAACGGGATAGCTGGAACTTACCCGGTTCACCCTCTCCCCCCCTTTTGGAACCACACCATGATGCGCCCATAAAAAAAGAAAAGAAAAGAAAAAAGAAAATGTTCTCCCGCCATAATAATAATCCCCCCAGCACCCCGTCATCCCGAGAGAGGAATAGTAACCAACCGGCCACCACCCCGCGGGGTTTCTCCACCCCAAGCCGCTCAACCGCCATCCCACTCCGCGGACTATTCGCCAACGGTACATGGCATTGTAACTGTGAGCCGCGCCGGCAGGCAGATCACTTTGAGACGAAGAATGGGGGCAGGAATCATGGGCGGTGGTGTAAGTTTTTGTGCGGCATCCCCCCCCTTCCTTGTCATGTCATTGTTTGGCTCACGTTGGGCCCTATATCTTCGATTATTATTTTTTTCTTTAAAGGGGAACAGGAACGATGAATACTGATACGTGATGGTTGCGTTTGGAATCAATATAGTTTACACATGTCCGAAGCCGCAGGGGAAACGGTGCAATTTTTTCCTATGGGAGGACGAAGCGGAGATTAGGGAGAGAGATATGGCGAAAGTGTTAAAGGGGGCAGGGACGGGAGCGGCTGGCGGCCGTTCCACCAATAGGACACCGTCGCGACCTTTGGCACAGGCCTCGATCGATGCTAGGACCGGGTTACTGACCCCCAACACCGGGACGAGGAAGAGGGCTCGTGATTATGAGCAGGGTTGTGGCTATGGACTAACTAGTGTGAGCGAGATGGGATCGCCGAGTAAGAAGAGTAGGATGGAGGATGTGGTGGTTAAACGAGAGGAGGAAAGAAAGGACGATGATACTGATGATGACTCGTTTGGTTGGGATGAGGATATAGAGGGGAGCGTTGTGGAGCAGTTGGCTCCTCGGGAGGATTCACACCTGGAGCAGCAGCGGCAGAAGCAGGGGAAGGGACAGGGTATTTTTCAGCCTGGTACGCGACGAAAAAGCCCTGGGTGGTTTCGAGATGGGCGGGGTTTATTTGTGAGCGAAGATGAGGATGAAGGTGTCCGTGATGATGGCGAGGATGGCAGTCCGCATGGCCAGCGTGATACAGATCCAGCCGGGCTGGATGGCCCTTTTTTTCCCACACCTTCATCCAGAGTATTTCGCCCGTACCACTCGCCTTCCGCATCCTTATCCCGATTCTCAACCCCGCAAACCACGCGCAGCACTCTTACATACGGACAAGATACCGCAACAACCTCATCTCGCACCACGGTAGTAGACCCCTTTGATCTTGACCCTCCGCAAACACCAACGCCAATCCGCTTTAACTCCTTCCCGCTCCTTCGCCGCGATAATCAACAAGAACCCCACGGCACCGCCCCGCCCATCATATCTTCTACAACCACAACCACATCCACCACCAGCCCCCAAAAGACCGGCACAATCGTTTCCAATACCCTCGCCCTCCTCTCCAAGCACAATATTCACATGCCTCCCGCCGCGAAACGAGAACTTGTCGGATTGCTGAACGCAGAATACCTTCACACGCAGTCCATTATCAAGGGAAGGGATGCCACATCTGCCGCCGTGCGCAATAGGGATGTGCAGATACAGGCGCTGAGGGGGAGGATTGAGTTATTGGAGGCGGAGAGGGAAGGGTTCAGGCTTGGGAGGCGGAGTAGGGATTTCGGCGAGATTTGATGTGCTAGAAGGGGTGGAGGAGAAGGAAGAGGGATAGGATTTTAAAGGACACGTGTGCGATTATACTTATTGTATTTTTTTCTTTTTCTTTTTTCTTCTTGGACCCTCCTGATGCCCTATACTGTTGGAATTCGGCCTTACGTATATAGGTTTTGTGTGCTTATTTTTGCTTGGAGTGAGTTGGACGGCTTTGGTGATCCCCCGCCCGCCGTTTGTTGCAGTTGGGGGTTTCAAGATTTTGGAAATACCTAATTTCTATACTACATATTATACATATATTGTGTGGGAATCTCTGCATCAATTCTACTGTGACTATCGTGTTTTCTAGTATTCACATCTTGTCTTGTATGTACATTAGTTTCAGGAACGATTGATAAGATAAGGCACGTGATCTCCAAGCTCTCAAAATTCTCTCACCCGCTAGCAGCTTGAAGGTTATAACATACAGACAGACGTTGTTGACAGTCGCTCGAAACTGTGCTTGTTATATATATACAAAATATAGATATATAAGTGGTTTAACCGGCACTGATATATATCCATATGATGGTCTAGCAAACCGCAATCCGGCACTACTCACTGACAACCACTATAGTGTCCAGTTACGATCTTCTTCTACCCTCCACGGCCTCATTCTCACCTTTATACCCCTAACATAGCGTAAGAACGAGATTAGATGGGGGATACTGCCACGTTACAGGCCCCCTCCGTATCCGCTGCTTCTGTCACCCCTAACAGCACAACCCCCAGCGCGACCCCCATCACTTCCGAATCAGACATGTTCCGCGCCCCAGTCAACCGCATGATGCGGACGCTGGACCGTTCGTTTTTCCAGAAAACCGTCCCCCTCTCCGCCGCTACCATCTTTGACAGGCAATCAATTGGCCCAATAAAGAGCGAACTGCTGCAAAGCAAGGACTTGTTGCTGGCGAATCGCATTATACCAGTGCGCGCAGCACGGGAGGGCCCGTTGGAGAATGTTACAGATCATTGGTATCAGAGAAAGAATGGGAAGCAGGACGGGAGAAAATGTTTGTTGCTTAGAGAGGATATCAAAGCTGATGGTATGTGGGATTTATCTCTCCTGGCTAGACCCCTTTCGGGTGAGGAGTTCGGCTTGGGTGGACAACTTTTTGCATATGCATGACCTGCTAACCTTTCTGTCTCCTCAATTCAATATGTAGATGTGAAGACGTGGTCTCCTACTATTCAACGGCTAGTTGAGGCCAAATCAATGGAATTGCGCCCGTTCAACCTGTTGCTTGATTATGACTATTTCACATACAGTATGTTTGCCCTCGACAGTGGCTGATGGAGAGAGCTAAGAGAAAAGATAACGTTGCTAACCTTTCTTTGGTGCACAGAGGATATCGTCGATTCTATACTTCCGGACCAAGAGTTGGAGGAACTGCCGGTTGGCTTTACTCAAGTCGGACACGTGGGTACGTGCCTCAAACCAACGGCCGTTTTCCAATTTTGTTTCCCTTTTCTCAGCTCTAATTTGTACCTACAGCCCACTTCAATCTCCGCGAACAATATCTACCATATAGATTCCTACTGGGAGAAATTTTGATAGACAAACACCCTCAAGCCCGGACGGTGATTAACAAAACCGATGACGTTGGATCCCACAGCGAATTCCGCACCTTCTCATACGAGATCCTTGCTGGTCCGGATGACATGAACGTCACCGTCCACGAGCAAGACTGCGAATACTCCTTCGATTATTCAAAGGTATATTGGAACACACGTCTCGCCACCGAACATGAACGCATGGTCAGCAAATTCAAAAAGGGCGAGGCCGTCTGCGACGTCATGGCCGGCGTGGGCCCCTTTTCCATCCCCGCAGGAAAGAAACAGGTCTTCGTCTGGGCCAACGATCTAAACCCATACGGCTACGAGTGCCTGGAGCGAGGCATCGCGAAGAACAAAGTGCGCGAATTCGTGAAGCCCCACAACATGAACGGCCGCGACTTCATCCGCTTCGCCAGCGAGAAGCTGTACCAACGAAGCCCCCGGACCGTCGCCCACCGCGTCAAGATCCCCAAAGCAGAGCTCGCGACTTCGCCGATCCGCCAGCGTAATCCCCAAATGTTCTACACGGAATATTTGACCTGCCCACGCACCTTCGACCACTACGTCATGAACCTGCCCGCCACCGCGATTGAGTTCCTGGACGCGTTCCGCGGCGTCTACGCGGGCATGCAGGAGCTCTTCCAGCCGTACACGGACCGCCGGCTGCCGCTCATCCATGTCTACTGCTTCTCGACGAACAGTGAGGACGAGGCTGTTGAGCGCAAGGATATCTGCGAGCGCATTTCGAAACGGCTTGGGTTTACGATTACGCCGGAGGATGAGGGGCGGGAGTTGGAGATTCGGAGCGTGAGGCTTGTGTCGCCGACGAAAAAGATGTTCTGTGCTACCTTTAGATTACCTGCTGAGGTGGCATTTACGAAGCGTTGAGTGGGGTTTTCTTTCTAGAAGTAGATCGGAAGAGACCGTCTCGTTACCCTTCTTTAATCTTTTTCTTCTTTTACTTGTTTGGCATTTCAGGCATTTGGCGTAACTCGTGTGTTCTCAGTTTGTTTATTTAATTTTTTTTTTTTTTCCATAATTCTACAATTGTATTTATACTAGACCTCCATTCGAAGCCCAACTTAGCGCCTCATTTTTTTTCCTCGAATAGCGATTCACCTGTTCCATATACTTTTAGTAAAGAGATACAAGCTGAGCTGCCGCACAATTAGAAAGAGGGAAAAAGAAGAGAGAAAAAAAGGAAGTTTTGCAAACCCTCATTTCATTTGTAATCATCTGTCTACCATTGCTTGATTAACCTCTACCTACTCCGTACTTTTTCTCAGGCCATTCATCCCATTTACTTGCTCTAAACTGTCAACTAGCTATGAGGAAATGTGTAAGTTCAAAACTAGGCAGCAATTCTATCCAAATACTAGCGCCCTTTATTTGTTTATTTTTTTCCCCTTTTGAGGGTAGAAAGACCGTGCTCGTCGTCAAGGTAAGCCATCAAAGCATCGTGCTAAAAGATTCGGCGATAGGTTTGGTCCGCCATGGCTTTTTTCTGTGTACTACCTCTGGGCCGGTATTCGGGATAAAAAGCAAATAGTTGCCGTGGTTATAGGTACCGGTAAAGCCAGATACGGCGCAGAGTACGGTGTGTGATAAAATACCCCACTTCCCATCCATCTGGTAGTCGGGTTGACCAACTGCACCAAGAGAACAAACACATAACACATCCGTATTAGGTACTCCTTGCAGCCGCAAGTCACCATCATATATATTCATCATGGGGTCATCATAAACGTTAATCCGACTGTATTTTGCATTCCATCCATCACAGGCATATGCGCATGTGCATGCGTATGCACGCTCTCCGTCTTCTCATCTTGCTCCATGCAAGGGGAGAGAGCATAAAAGCCGAGAGGAGGGAGATCTAAGCATTCACGTTTCTTTTAATACAGTAAAAACGCAGCGCCCATTCGCTAGTCTTGCTCACTCCACGAAGTTCCTCAGCTTCGTCAATTCATCCAAGAGTTCTTGGAGCTCGGTGTCGGAGATTTTGTTTCCGATGCTGGGAATCAGGGATTTGGCTTCTTCGGCATCATTGCAGCATAGACTCCCTGTAGCACAGCAACGTTAGAGGCACTCTTTTCTCTGCCGATACGCTGCTGGTAATATAATGCGCAAAGGGACAACATACCAAGTTGCGATCGCTCGAAGAACTCAAGTTCAGTGTGCGCAGACAGAAGGCGTTCGACAGCCTCGATGTTTTCCTTCTCCTTGAACCGCGCGAAGAGCTCAAGGTAATCTTGCGTTTTCACTAGGGTCCTGAGTTAAAGAAAAAGAGAAAAAATGTGAGCAAAACCTATATCGTAATTTTCCTACTCCCCCTTCTTCCTCCCCTCAGCTTCTATCTCCCCTCTTAAGCTGCTTTGCTTGGAGGTGTGTTCCATCTCAGCTCAACCTCCCAACTTCCTAACTAACCCCCAAACCGCAAACACAGCAAAAATGGAAACCAGAAACGGAACAACATACTCCCTCTCCTCAAACTTATGATCCCCCTTCCTCCTCAAATCCAGCACTTTGTTGATAACCAACCGCGCCTCCGATAACGAGAGCGTCGGCACGTTTTGGAATTCGCCCAGTTTCAGCTGCGAGGTCGCTTCGAGTTCGTTCTGGGGTAGTTCGCGCTTTCGGTGTGTGGGATCTGGGAGGGACGTGGAGGAGGGGGTTGTCATTTTTCTAATTTATTTTATTTGGTTTTTGCTTTCGGGCTTTGTTCTTCGAGGAGCAAAAGCGTGATAGTTTCGTAGGACTTTCGGGCGGTAGGTGAAGTTTGATAGCTCTAACCCCTTTCGTTTTAATTCGTGATGAAAGTGTAATTCTCTGTGTATATATCCTGTAGTGTAGCTAATGAGATTCCTTGATGTACGCGGAGCGAAGGTTGAAAGATGCCAGAGAACGTGTAAAGATATCGGGAAGTTCATCAGTCTGGATGAGTTATTTCGACTAGTGCGGCTCTGTCACATGGGAAGTCACGTGAATTTTAGCGGTTCTCTTAGCCAAGGCTGAAGCGCTGTTTCATGCCGTTTATTATTTTAACCTGAAATATTCTCTCAATTGGGATTTCGTTCAGAACGAGGTTGTGGTATCATCTACAAAACAAAAACGTAAAAACACGGAAAGAAGCACAGGAAAATATACGGCCTTTGTTTTCAATATTAAGCTAAGTAAAATAAAATTAAAGAAAAGTCCCAGCATTATGAGAAGCTGACTTTATAACAATCAAAATTAAAAAGAGAAGCAAATACAAGATGCCATAAGTTGGATATGCAGGGAAGAGTTGCCAACAAAGAAACTAACGGGACGAAAAGGAAGAGAGTGAAGAAAAGGGAAGGAAAATGGGAATAAGTTAGAAAAGCCAAGGAACTGAAATAAATAAATTGAGGGGGAAAAAAAGGGAATAACTTATAGGGTAATCTTCGGTAAATGAAAAACAAGAACGATAAAAGGGAATAGGGGAAAGAGATATACGTCGAACAACGAGAAGAGTAGATGTTTTGGAAAATAGTAGCAAGGGGAGGTATATGTAATAATGTAAGAAATGTTATGTAGTTGGTTAGTGCAAAGCAGAGTAGTTAGTCGTAATGGGGTTTTGAAAACAATAGGGGAACGGAGAATTCAGGATGAAGTGAAGAGCACAAGAGAAAGAATCAAGGCAAAAGAAATGTAAGAAAAAAATAAAAACTGCTGACAAGCCGGCCTGGAGACTGGAGGATGATAGCATACCATATCAATCACACCCCTCTTCCATCCGCCTATCCCAATATTAGATTGTTTGTTTCGTTCTTATTCTCGTTTTCTCGTGAGTTTTTCTTTTCTCTCCCTTTGGCAGCGCCCCTTTATTTCTCAATAGATCAATAGATAGAAAGGGTCGTACGCCCACCCTTCCCCCCTCTTCCTTTGCTCTATGCTCCAAAACGATAACGCTAACAAACAAAACGAGAAAAATGAAAGTGAAAAGAAAGCCACGACGCAGAAACGCAGGGAAGAAAGGGGAAAGTATAAAAAAAGAGAAAGGAACACAAAGGGGAAGTCTCAACCCCAACACCCTTCATTTCCGGCCAGGAAAAGAAAATAGTAGGAGCAGAAGGAGAAACAAGGAAACAAGGAAAATAATGAAGAGGGAGAGGAGGGAGTGAGCAGAAGGGAAGGAGAAAAGAATTAAGACCAATTAAGAAATTAAGAAAAGGTGAGGAATAGAGGAGGCCAGGGAAAGAAAATTAAAAGGCAAAAACCCCAATATAACCAAGGTAGCCATAGGTTGACAATAACGAAGCCCCAAAAGTATATTTTTTTTTTTTTTTGTTCGCGAATTCAGTGCAGTGCAGCTCAGCGCAGCATGCCTTATTAATTTTTTTTGGAGGGGAGCCGGGTGGATAGATGACCTCATATAGGCCCACCCGCAGCGGCGGCGGTTGCTTGCCGCTGCCTGAACGCCATCTGTTGCTGTTGTTGCCGCTCTTCTTGTTGGCCTTGACTGTGATAACTGTCTCCACTGGCGCTGCGGTCTGGGAATCGGGGCTGTTGTTGCGGCGGCTGCTGCTGCTGCTGTTGGGAGCTGTAATCATATTCCATCTGCGGGGAACTTAGCGGCAGTTGCTGTTGCTGCTGATCCAATTGTTGTTGTGGGCCTTGGGGTTGTGGTGCAGCACCGGCTCCAGCGGGTTGCACATGTCGCACGGAGCTCTGCATCTGCCATGCATTGGCTTGCGATGGATCCTTGTCAATGCGTGTGGCGAGGGGTGGGTTGACTGCACGGCCCGAGCCGGTGCGGACAGGGGTACCTTCTGCCGTGGGCGGAGCGCGTTGTGGAGTGGCGATTTTGCTTAGATCGCCACCGTACCGTTTGAGGATTTCTTTGGTGGTTATTTCTGCACTGCCGTTGAAGAGGGTCGAGTCTGTAAGGACAGATTGGAGCTGTTGCGGTACCTGCACAAAAAAGATAGTTAGTATTTTCCCACAGTTGCTTTCCAAGGTGGCTGATCCTTTTCCTTTTCTTTTCTACTCACCTCGCACATCGTATCATTATACTCTATCAACGACGTGACAGCTTCTATCGCCAAGAAACTATCCTCCATGTCCACCGTTTTCTCTCTTGAGTAGAGAATATTAGGAGTCATGACGGTTGCGATATTGTGGACATCCATTTTGCTACCGGATTCCTCGTCGATATGGGAGAAAGAGGATGCCCAGTGCAGGAACGAAAATAGAACCTCCATGGTATCCCTGTGTGTCTTGGGAAGCAGGCAACAAGTCAAGTGTAGAATGCGACGTTGATTTTCGGGGTCCGATATTTCTAGATCGTTGTGTTAGGACTCAATCATATAAGATGGAAGAAAGGAAAGAGAAACTAGACAACAGAGACACATTGGGAGGGGATAACCTACTCTGAGAAACAACGAACAACCGATGTAACTTAAACGTAAGTAGCGGATCCGGCATTTCTCTCAAGAACTTTTTAAGCAGCGCCGCGATTTGCACAGGATTCTCCTTATTGAAATCCGCCTGCTCGTATCTCGTATCGACAATATCTGACGTCTCCTTCAGGCGTTTGATATTGCCATTCTTCCGAAATACCCCCTCGACAGACATGTCCATCTGCCGCATGGCAGAAATCGCATCGTCGACGAACGTCGGTATGCGCAAAGTGCCCGGGCCGACTCCATGCGTTGATTCTGTCCCGTCCTTCTCGATCAGCGCGTCCAGACCGACGCCGAAGACGCCCTTCTTCTTCCCACCCTTGCGGCCCTCGTTCTTAAACGCGCGACCGAATATATTCCAAATCGTAGGCTTGCGCGATTCTATGAGTCCCAGCAGTTCTTCAAGGTTGAAGTGCCCTTCTAGAAGTGGTTCCATGGACAAGACAGCGACATGTCGGACTATGAAGTACTCAAGCGCGGATAATTCTGAAAAATATTTTGTAGTTCTGGGCGCCGGAGCACCACCACGCGTATCAGTTGGGCCGGATACTTCCCTTTGATGTCCGTTGACTATTTTGGGTGCTCGGCCGCCGGATGTAACGAGGCCAGTCCCAGCATGGCGGAATGCATTAGGTCTCTGCTCCTTGGCTTGCTCAGCAGCGACTATTCTTGGTATGTCATCCAAAGTCAGCGCATCTTGGTTCCCAAACGTTAGGTCTTTAACTGGTTCGCCAGCAGCATCTCTTTCTTCGACGATCTGGAAACCTGGATTGTTCATTTCTGGCCCGCTGGCACCTGGAGAACCGGGCCGCGCAGATCTTCCCTGAGGCCCGTCGATGATCCGCGAAGCGCGGGCTTTCTTAAAGGTTGTGGAGAGTGTGCGTTCTGTGCGGGTCGAGTGAAGTCTTCGTATTTCTCCGACGGTTTGCTCTAGGGATGATGAACCGGTGTTTTCATCCCGTGCGCCGCCTGCCCCATACGATCTCGATCGGGTATTGGATCTTTGAGGTGTCTGGAGCTCTCCGGAGGCATTTAGCCGGTGGCCGTCATTCGCTTCGTATTTCTTCAGGTTTGGATCGTCTATACATCACACGTTAGTACTTGGATAGATGAAATGTTCACGGGAAAAAGATAAAATACCTGAGGTATGTGGCAGAGTACCGCCAGACCGTAACACCAAGAGCAGTCTCGCAAGCGCAACCTGCAGCAAGAATACATACTGCTGCAGCTTGCTAACATAGGCGAACCCCCTTTGACCATTCGGGGCGTGGCCCTTCTGCTCGGCACATATACGGCAGAACGGCCGATCCTTATCCTCACTCCATCGCGCATTTAGCAGGTCCACTGTGAGGTCATTCTGGCAAGCCCCGCAGACGAGATGAGGGGGTTTCAAATGCCACCTGCGCCGGCCTAGGATGATACACTCGTCATCAATTGGGTCTTTGCAGGCAGCACAGCAATCGGACTGTTGGTCCGACAGCTCCGACATGGAATCTGTGAGATTGGACGCCGAGATGGAATCCAATTCACCCAGGCTATCCAGTTTGTCTAGGAATGTGTATAATTGGTCTGGATTGTCACTCTCCCTTTCTAACTTCAAAGCGCCTTGTAGACCGATCCGGATTAGGAGCTTCAGATAGTGGGCAAGACCCGTTACAAGGGCCAGCAATTCTTGCGTGACGCCAAGTTTGCGAACACCTGTCTCTTGCGTTTTGGAAAGTAATGCGAAAAACGCAACGATCTTTTTGCAGAGCAGTTTGGCTTCTCGACCGTATTGTAGATCTAAATTTCCCCAATGTTCGGTTAGAGTCGCTACAAAATATAATGTAAAATAATAAACGGCACCATGTTTGTGTTTGCATACCTTTCATCTTTCTATATGATATTGCAGCAGCAAGTCCATCCAAAGCCTTGAACAGAACTTCAACATGGAATATGAACTTTTTCGCAACAACGACACCATCAATGTAAGCGCCATTACTGACATGTAATAACATGTCTGATATGCAAGCGGCGGAAGATTCTTCGAACGTAGACAACACTCTCCAGATTCGGTACACCTTCTCCTCCATCCTATCCTCCTGCTTCCTAACGAAGTCGCGATCTTGTTCTGTCGCCTCGGTATCTAGTTCCGGGCGGACAAACTCCTGTCCGTTGGGTGCAAGCCGCACATTCCAGAACTTGTGGATCATATAGCATTCCGGGTGCCAGTGTTGATTTTGGCCGTTGCGGAAGATTTCGACGAACTGCTTCAAGATAGCCGTGTGGCAGCCGTTACACCGTTGGGCAAACTGGGTGGAGTAATGGTAATGACAGTATACTTTTCCCTCGTGTTCGTAGTAGCTATCCTGTGCCCCGAAGACGGTTGGGCAGACGGAACATGTAAAATGTTCGATGTGATATTTGCGATCCAGTGCGGTGATATATGAACCTCGGAGAGCACCACCACAATCATAGCAAAGGAGATTGAGACGTCGAAAGTAATCTGTCTCACAAAGAGGGTATTGTCCATTGCCATCCTCAGAGTCGACCGGGAAGAATTTCGACGCGACAACATCACCACAGTCCTATTTGTGTAAATAAGCAAGTTAGAACTAATTAAAAAAAAAAAAAAAAAAAAACTGAAGTAGCAACAGCACGGAGAAGAACATACACTGCACTGAAAGCATTCTAGATGGAATGTCCCACCCAACGCCCGCACGAATTGGCCCTGAAGCGGTTCCCCACATAGTCTACAAACCCTACCACCAGGCGACTTGCTCCCCGATCCTCCATTGAGGCGAGACTTATCGCGCGGTCCGGATCCTGATCCTGCTCCACCTTGTTGAGTACTGGAGGGATGTTGTCCCCGCCCCGTTCGAATGTCTGGTGAGTGATAAGTGTCGGTGTCGAAGGCACCACCGCCCATGGATGGTGAGTTATTATTATCCCATGGCGCGCCCGCGCCAGGGCCAGTGGGACTGGACATGTCTATCGGGGACTGGGGTTGGTAAGTTTCGCCATACATGTTTGGGTCACCTAGATTTCCTGACGGCTGAGCTCCATTGTTCCTAGGCGCGCTGCCTGGAATTAGGTCCGGTGGGAACGTACGCCCACCAGCAGGAGGCATCTCCACACTTTGCCCTCCCGGGGTAGTTTTGAGTAATGAAACCCTTCACGCCTATAACCCAAACCAAATGAGCTCCTGTAATGTATATTTATCCTAACCACTAAACGCGAATCACAAGGAATATTTTATTATTGTTTTTATATTTCGATAGGTTGCGAGTGAATTTATAGCGACGAATATGCGGTAGGTAGGTGATGCGAAGGGGAAATGTAGGCTGTCAGAAAACGGGGTGTTAAGAGAAGACGGCGCTGAGAAGAACGTCGGGTATCACAGGTATATCCGGAGACAAAACTCAATCAAAGTGTATTTAGCTGAAACGATGGTAGAAGGGACCCTCGCAGGAGGCAAAGCTTGCTTGGCTTTGGGAAGGTAGGTAAGCTCTCGTTGGGTGGCCAGATGAGGATAAGGGAGCAATTTTCAGCTTCCGCCTCGTATCGAAAATCGTTCGGGGACAAGTGGGAGCGAGAGGAGGGAAGGGGAGGGGGGGAAGGAGGGGGTATAGTTATAGCTGACGGTTGGTGGTTGTTTCTAGCACTAAAACGTGACCTGGCAGCCCCCAAAACAGCGCCCAAACAACCCTTGCTAGCTTAGCTGCAGGAGGAGTGAGTGCGCGAAAGATAGATAGATAGGTTTCAACGGTGTGCCGCAAGAATGGGACGCAGAGCATCTGACAATGACGACGTAGGTTTGGGCGATTTCGTTTTCTCGGTTTGTTTCTCAGTCGGGAGGATATTGCTTCTAATTATTAATAATAATAATAAATTGGGATGGTTTTGCGGGCAAGGGCAACCGGAGGCAGGCTGTGCAGGAGGAAGAAAGAAAGAGAAAGAAAGAAGATAATAGGAGGATGCCCAATATGTAGTATGTGGTGGAGGGCTATTTGGTGGTGGGTGCGGTGCAAGGTTGAGGAGGTAAGTAACTAGTCAGTGTGAGACCAACAGGCGGCGAAGCAGCTTGGCCCGCAGACAGTCGACCAACATCCCCTGGAGCATCAGCAATGGGCGGAAGAAGTAGCCGTGACAGCAAGAAGAGCGGCGGACGGGAGTAGATAAATATAGAGAGGATGGATGGGAGAGAGAGAGAGACAGACAGCCTAACAGAGCCGCCTCTTGGGGGGGGGCCAAAGAATGGAGAGAACAATACGGAGTAGAGAGAGATAGAGAGAGAGAGAGAGACAGAGTGAGAGGGAATGAGAGGGAGGTAGAGATAGATAGAGGGAGGAGAGAATAGCGAGAATGAGGGAAGTAAGAGGAAAAGAGGGAGAGTGGAGGGATGAAGTTGTTGGAAGGTTGAGGAGGATGGCTCAGGAGGAGGAGGAGGAGGAGGAGGAGGAGGAGGAGTTGATGCTGCCCGCCGCCGCGCCCCCCCTAATAAGCCTAATAATAATAAGCCCCAATAATAATAAGAATGCTCAGACGGACGGGACCAGACAGCGCCAAGCCAGACAGCCACATGCGGTTAGACCCAAACATCGCGGACAGACACGTGATGCTGGGCGTCAACTGGCAATCCATAATAAAATAAACCAAGCAATATCAACAACAATAATAATCAACATCAAACAGACATAAATAAATAAACACACAGCAACAGCAAGACAGAGCCGGCTGTAGGCGACTGGAAACACCATGGAATGTATGCCGTTTCTGCAACTGATCGCTTTACTACCCCTTCCCTTCTGTATAAAGCCACCGGATGGATCTGCTTCTTCCCTGCCTTGGCAACAATCAGGCTAAAATACTCTCGAGCCCTCTTCTCCTGAATAATAGACCATACCATACCATAACCATGCCCTATCCCAACTTCCACTCGCCCGTGGGTACTACGCCTAAGGCACCAATTACAGGTCTAAGCTAGCCGGAGGAACCATTCTCTCCAAAGCACTTCCATATCAATATCAGCTTCTTTGTCTTTTTAAGTTTCAGGGCAAAATTCTCCCCAAGTATACTGCGTAGGACCCCTTGTAAGGAACAATCTCAAACCGATGATATGTGCATGAAAGACAATATAAATAAAAAAAGTGCTTCCGTTCTTCAATCCTTCTATATCATATTATTTTACACGTCTGCTCCATTACCCCTCACGCAAGTCCAATATCTTATATATCTATCTAGCCGCCCGTGTAAATAATAGAAATTATGTATGGATCGAAACGGTCCAAACGGCACCACCCTCGCTCCGGTGCCACAGGCTCTCCACATCCTAGAAAAAGCTTAAAGCCTAAACCTCGAAGTTAAGTGCGCTGGAACCTAGATAAAAGCCAATAATTAAAATAATGAACGACGAAACTATTAAAAAGAAGACTCCCAAAGGCTAAATCTATCCAGGCAATTTAAAATATGTAGCCAGAAAAACAATCCCCCTTCTAGGAACTCCATTAAAACCTCCAAGCGGACAGACAGACAGACGCCGGTTAAAACCACCAACACCCTCCCCCCCCTAGATGTAATGTATGTCCAAATTCCGAGTGAGCAAAAAATAATTTCCATGCCAGCTATTGTTTCAACAATGTTTACCGTATCTTTGTTTCCAAACGGTATCAAACGGAATCAAAAATGTAAAACATGGGCAGATTCCCAATTGCCACACAACCGAACAACTTGCGGGAAAAAATGGTTAAAAGAAGAGAAGAGAAATCAACTACACAACTCCTCCCCTTAAACCCTCTTCCTGAGAACTCGTTTCCCAGACTCCTCCGTCGCCCGGGCCTTTTTCACCACTGAACCTGCTCCCGCTGCCGCTGTCGTCTTCTTCGTCCCTGCACGAGGAACCGGTGGCCGTTTACTCGCCGCAGAAACAGTACGTGTGCCTGTTCCTTTCTGAGAACCCGTGACGCCGCCGCCTCTCATCGTAGTCTTCACAATGGTCGTGCCCGATGACATGTTCGAAATAGTAGAGTCGCCGCTATTCCTTCTCGTGTTCCTTTGCCGAGTAGTAGGTCGCGACGGTGGCGCTGTTGCCGAGGCTACCGTTGCTCTCTTCGACGTCGTCGACGCGGTAGATTTTGCAGTCGTCTGTCTCCGTGTGCCCGTTCCGTCGTTGGCGTGTGGCGAATCCTTCCGTGTCCCAGCCGCAGTGGTACCAGTAGTACATCTCGTCGATCGTGTTTTCGCGTTCCCTGCCCCGGCCTGCTTAATCGGGCTCGTATGCTTCAGAGGCGATAATGGACGAACACTACTACCAAGCTGCGTTTGCGATTTCCCAGTCACATTGCGCAGTGGAGATTGCGGGAATGTCCTAGAATTGGAGGATTTCGGCGATAAGACGCCCGTTTCAGTAAACTGAGATAGCACCCGGGGATGATGTCCTGCAGGATGTGCATTAGGCGTGCCACGTTTCTTCGGGTTTGACAGCGGCGCATGCACTGCAGGATTGTGGTGTTTGTGGTGGTCCTGAACTTGAAAGGGGGCGTTTTCTTTATCGGAGGCAAGCATTTCATCGCTGATCCACATGTTAGGGACTTGAGTTACTTTTTTAAAAATAAAACCTACTCTTCTCTGTCTGTGGAAAACTCAATAATGACAACAACAAATTTACCTTGTCCGCTTAACCCCCCGAGTTGTTCGAGCAGTGGACGCACCATAATGACCGTCCGCCGAATTTGTGGTTCCTCCCGCCGCAGCTCTACTAGACGATTTGGATGCTATTGTCGACCTCGGCTTTTTCCCCGCATCCACAGCCTTGGTTGATTCCGAGTATTTAGCAAGCAAGTCGCCCATCCTTTGCTTTCGCAGAGCAGTCGGTATGCGATTTATGCGTCGCTCAATGCGTCCACGGAGGTCTTGGGCTTGTAACGCGTAGTGCGCACGGAGTTTGCGCGCGCGTTCAGTGACTGAGAATTGATATCGAGTCAGCACAGTATCAGGCAGCGTCGGTGAAATCAATTGCATCGCTTCCATGATGTAAAAAAATATTCATACCCTCCAGCTGCAAGTTATCAATCAACGCTTGTTTCTGGTTAAGTGTGATCCTCATTCTCTTTCTGGTTGGGCTTCCGTTTGGGGTCCGAGGGGCCATGACAGGATCGTCGTGTTCAGGCGCGTGGTGGTCGCCGGGTTCGGGGGACTTGCGCTTCCTTGAAAGGGTGGCCATCTTTTTATGGGGTTATTGTAGCACGTAATATTCGTCGTATAGGACACAGATTATGAGGTGGATGATCGGAATCGAGAATGTTGGAAAAACAAAGACGAAGGAATTGGTGTTGGAATTCTTGAATTGAACAGCTTGGAGTTGGGATGTAAACAAATCAAAAAGAGCTAGCGTGGAATCGAGAAGAAGAAGTGTGATTATGTCATCGGCAGCCTGTGTACTCCGTACTCCGTACTGACTGTACTTACATCAACCAGGCCTGTAAAACAGGAAACATAATGAGTGTAAAGTAAATACAGAGTAAAACCCCCAAAAAGCAAAAAAAATATTTCGGGTTCGGACTGTAAGAGACAGTGTACTCTGTAGTATGGTTGGTTAGTATCCAAGACAAAATTATAAGACATAGTTAACCCAAAAAACATAAAAATAAAAAATTCTATGGATGAATATCGGCGCCATGGTGGAAGAATAACCGGCAAACGCCCACCTGCCATACCGCATGCGCCCCCGCCAACAAAACGAACACTGAATGGCGGGTGATCCAAAGAGGACCAAAAATGTGAACAAGAAAAATGAAAAGATAGTAATAATATAAAACAAAGGCCGTGTCGGGGTCCGTGAAATAGCAATAGTAATAATAAACACAAGCACCCAGGTATCTATGTATTCATCAACCGGCGTTGATGACAGCTCACATCGAAAAACCAACAAAAAAAAAAAAAAAAAAAAAAAAAAAAAAACCAAACCCCGAATACCCAAACCGGTGGTTCACAAGGAACCTGATCCAAACGAGAGCATACAAAGAAGAAAAGAAATAGAAAAGAAAAGAAAAGAAAAGAAGAACGGGAACCAGAAAGGTCCCCATCCCCATGTTCTTCCCCACCCCTCAATCGGCAAGAACAGTCCGCAACATCGCCCCAAACGACTCCCGCAGCTTCAAAATCTCTTTGATCTCCGGCTTAACAGGCTCACCTGCCGTGCGGCGCAAGCGGTCCTGGTGTCTCGAGCGGCGCTTGCGCTCAAGGGAGATGGGGTCGAGGTCGTCGTCAGCGGAGTCTTCGTCGGAGGTATGCGAGGCTAGGTCATCGATGGCGAGGTCTTCAAGGTCGCCCTGTTTTGATTTTTTTGTTAATATAGATTTACTTTTATTTTATTTATATTTATTTATTTATTTGTTGTTTTAGAGAGGACGATGTCTTTCATGATGAGGACGAAATAATATACAGAAAGCAAAGGTGGAATGGGTATGGATAGGGATTGATAAAATATGTTTTTTTGGCTTACCTCGTCCAACCCAAAATCACTCCCCCTAAACGTCGCGCTGCCCGGCACCTGCATCTCCGACTCAGCCGACCCAGAGCCCTCCGCCGCCATCTTCTGCCGCGTCTTATCGTGATGCCACTTCTTCCGATCCGCATGCCATTTCACCAAAGAGTCAATCTCCTTCATTGCTACCGTGGCATTAATCTGTCCCACCGCAACCGCCCCGCGGAACAAGGCATTCATATCCAACGTGCCCCCGCTGCGCGGCCCGTGGCGCAGGAAGTGCAAGATATCCTCCAGCCAGCCCATGAGGGCGTCGAAGAGGCCATTGTCGTGCAGATGGACTTCGTGGACGAATTTGTAGAAGCTGTGCTGATGGCGGGCGCAGAGGTCGATGAAGGCCTGGACGGTCTGGTTGGGATCTGCAGATACGTCTTGGCGCTGAGCGCGTTCGATGACGGCGATGGCGTCGTCGGCGAATTCGGCGAAGTCAGTTATGCTGTTGTAGACGTTGGCGGATTTGTAGACACGGACGAGCGGCTCGTAGAAGATTGTGAAGAGGTCGCGGAAGAGCTGGAGGGTGACGGGCTGTGGGGTGTTAGTTTTCTTCTCAAGGCACCCAGGACGGCAGGAGGGAGATGTCTCTTTTACCTCTTCGATAATGCTCAACATCATCGCTTTATCACGCTGTCGGGTTAGCAGTTTCAACAGCTGCTTAAGGTATGCAAACCAGTGCGCTCCATGCTGCATCTGCATATCAACCTGCAGTGGAAACATACATTAGCAGCTCCTCCCCAAAAAGAAGAAAACAGAGGGAAGAATCGCCAAACCCACATTCTCAACCGCATTAACCCACGCAACATAAGAGTTAAAAACCTTCTCGATCTGCCCAGGATTAAGCTCCGGCTCAAAATACTCCGACCTCAAAATCGTAACCACGATGTCAACATCATCCTCCTTCGCCTCCCGCCTCAGCTCATTCTTAACCTCCTCATCCGCCGCCGTGAATGCCTGCAGCTTATTGACAAGCACCGGATCGTCGATCTTGGCACTGAGCGCGTCTATCGAGCGCTGGAACGTCTTGATTCCGTCATGGATGGCGTGGGAGAAAATGTGTTGGAGTAACGAGCGGGAGCCGAAGGGCTGCGCGAGGAAGAGGTTTAGCGCGCCGGACATGACGGCGGCTGGGTTCGTGATGCGGATTACGTTTTTCATCATCGTGTAGGGGACTAAGGAGTGGATGCTTTTTGCTTGGGCGAAGAGTTCGGGCGAGTTGTCTTCTGCTAGGAAAAGGTGGTATAGCGTTGCGGCAACCCTGGAGGGTAAAAATTAGTATACCCAAAGGAACGTAACTGATTAATTGTTTTGCATGACGCACTCAATTCGAAGCCATTCTGCAAACTTCTGATACTGCGGGCTTAACTCCTCAACTGTGTGTTTTGCGCGGATCTCCTGAAATAGCTTCGTTAAGCCATCTTAGTTTCCAAACCGAAGGAACAAATTGTTAGCCCATAATTCTTTTTGCGCCCTCTGTAACACCCGGAGCAACTACTTACTATTCTCAACGATATCCTGCCGAAACTGTTCCATATAAACATCCAACTCCTGCGCCCTCTTCCTCGCAATCTCGTAAAACTGTTTCTGCTCCTCAATCCGTTTCGCATCCAAATACTTCCTGCGTTTGATATCCATAAGCTCCTCTTCATTCAGCGTGATAGGGTTCGCGGTGAGGAATTCCTCTAGCGCCTTGGACTCCGCAATCCGCTGGTTCCTTAGCAGGGTGCGTAGGAACGCGCGGAGAGATACTCTCTGCTCCTCACGATATAGGGATACTGTTGTTTCAGAAGAAAGATCGGCATTTGAAGCTCGTGGGGTTGCCGTATTTGATTTCAGCTTGCCGGTTAAAGATGAGCGGGACGAAGAGCGACGGCTGTCATCCAGGTTGTTGACGCCGAGGGTTCGTGAGGAGCGCGAATCATCTGCGAAATTGATGTCTTGAGTTGAGATGGAGGAGATGGATGAGGCATCGTCGTCGCCGCCTCCGAGGATGGTGGAGGAAACAGATCTTTTGTTCTTCCTTGGTAGCGGCGGAAGGATTTTACCAGGCATTTCGGTACGGAGACGTTTATGAAGTTTGGCGAATTCGCCGAATCGTCGACCAACGTAACGATCCGGCTTGCCGTGTTGTCTCACTCTGAGGATGAATTCCTGAATTCAGGATATACTGAATAAGCACTCATCCAAATATTCCAGACAGAAAGAAAAGAAGACACCCTCGCCCAACATACCGCATGCTGATGATATCTAACCGTCCGCTTAACTAAGGTAGTCCGGGCACCGGCAACATTTACATCCCAGCCGTGTATCGCATGACCCTCGGGAATATTAACAAGCAGCCCCTGCTCATTCGCACCGCGATCCACCACCTCCATTTCCGAGAAGCGGATACGTTCTTCATACCCAGATGCGGTGGGGATGCCAGAGACCATCATGAGCTCCACCAGCTTCTCACATTTCAGCGCCAATTTTCGCCGTTTAGTAACTTCATGCCTGTCCTCGCTGGAGGAGATGTGTTTGTTGGCGAAGGACTCGAGGAACTATTTACATTACCGTATATATTAGTACACGGTATACAATAGTATAGATCTAAATCAAAACATACCACCTGCAGCTTGTCCTGCCAAAACTCCTTCTCCCTGGCCTGATCGAGGAAAGGGAACTTGCGGACATGATGGACGAAAATGAACCTGAGGATGGGTAGCTCTGAATCGATGGGCGCAATCTCTCCGAGATCCGACTTGAAGGGAGCTCCGAAGCGGCGGAGGGCGGTGGGGGAGTTGAGTTCTGCAATTTCCGCGCGGACTTGCAGGGATATCAATTCGCGCTTGAGGTCTACAATGTTTGTTATTTTGATCGGGTTAGGTTTATATTCGTAAAATACGCACGCACACACACCAAAAAAAAAGGCGGGGAAGGAAAAATGTGTGAGAATTCAGAAATAAAAGTGAGATAAAGGAAACAAAGAGACAGATCGAGTGGAGGAAGCGAGATGTAGTAAGTGGCTGCGGGGTAATAGACAGGGCTTGGGGAGAAGGTGACGTACAGTGTTCCTGTTTGCCGGTCAGGATCTGGCCTGGGGGAGGCGCAGGCGCAGGAGCCATATTCTAGCAGACAAAACGATGGGGGTGCGGTATCTCAGGATTGAAGCGTGAGGAGTGAGGAGAATGTGTGGTGTAATCAATTGCGCGGTGGTTTCGAGAAAGATGGGAGGTTGAAGCAAACAAGGACCCTTGAGCGGAGAAAGGGAAGGGAAGAAGGGAAGGGAGGGGGGTGTTGGCGTTAACTAGCTTTGATAACTAACCTACAGCACAACAACAGTCCTTGAACACAACGACAAAAAGAAAGGGAATCCCAATTCTAGATCTTTTATATGAAGGAGCGTAGTGGCGGGAAGTTGTATAAACTATTAAATATGCAAGAGAGCAGAAAGCAGAACAGCAAGAAGGAAGATGGAATAGTTAACTAATGCTTGGGATGATCGATGAATGATGATGATGATGATGATGATGATGATGATGATGATGAAGCTGCTGCTTGCGGCTGAGCCCAACCAAACACACCAAACACACCAAACACCTCCCCCCCTTTCGCCCCGTGGAGGGTGTTGGCCACCAACCATTATTGATTGAAAACACTCCCCAAGACTGACTGCTTGGCCGTCCGTTTGAAGGGCACAGAAGACCTCCCAAGACAGCAGTTACAGAGTACTCAGCCACAGCAGCCGGGTAGCAACTTTTATGCCTTCAAACTGTTGAATTAGTTATATCCTGCAAACGCGAGGCCCAGCTCTGGAGCTCTACAGGTGGTTATCGACCACTCCACTCCTCCTGCCTGAAGATCCCACATCTTTTGCTCCAAGCCTCTCATGAGCATGGAATTTTGCTCCTTATAAATCAAACAATAAATAAGCGGATATCTGCTTTATCACGCTCCGTCAAACACCCTGCATTCGTGAGAAGTTGCCCGGGGCGGAACAGCCCAAGGGGAAATGAGGCTATTACACCATAACCAGGGAGCTCCAGGAGAACGTTTGGCTTGGGATGTCATTTATATTGAGTTTCTGTATATATAAATATTTATGAAAAGGAAATAGTAAATTTTACTGTAAAAAGATATAGAATTGAGCAGCTCTATTTAAAAAACTGTTTTCTGATCTTTTGTAAAAAGAAAAATCAAAGTCTTGTTTAAATAAGTGAAATGAGAACTGAGTAAAACAGAAAAAAAGTATACACTACTCAAGATTTAGAATAAATCAAAATGAAAATCTTTGTTTAATTAAATATAAAAACAACTTTTTTCTTCTGTAATTCAGTTCTGATTTTTCAATTGTGATCTGATTGAATTTAATGTTTTCTTACTAAAATACTATCAGATAACTTAACTGTATCAATCAATCATTCAGTCACTGAGAAGATATTTAGTATGAGATTTGAAAGTTATAATATTTATAAAAATAAGAATGAAAGAATAGAAAAATGAGACATATTAAATCTAGATGAAAATCTTATATATATTAAATGAGAGATAGTTTTTTAATAATTTCATACTACTTATTAATATCTGTGATGATATTCTCTAGTGCATATAGTAATAACTTAGTAAGTTATACAAGACATGAGTGTCATCTGTACGGAGTACAGCAGAGAGAAGATAGAGATCAGAATGAGAAAACACATTCACAAAAAGAAAAAGAGAGAACAAAACAAAAGACAGCAATTAATCTGTTATTCATCATATCTGTTCACATTCACATAACACATCTCACAAAAGACAGGTATCACATCATAATTCATCTGTCTCTATTCATAGTGCTCTGTATACCTATTGCCAATAACAAAACTATCATCACAAAAGCCAGTGAGTCATACATAGCTAAGGAGAGGCATCAGTTGCACTAAGAGCAAAACATCAGAGGCGAGATGGTAAAAGAAAACTCAGGATTAAATCAAAATCAAAATCAAATCTGGACGATAAACCGGAAATGTATTATTATTAGAGAAACAAAAGGGGACAAATATTCAAAAGCAAGATTTGAGTAATTAAAATCAACAGGGATTGGTGATGATCTGCGAACGTCGGATTGTGAGGCTGGGAGTAGAGATCAGATCAGAATAGATGACTGTAGAATTCCAAATGAAACAAGGAACACTTGAACATCGTTAAAATTAAGAAAAAAAATAGCCCTCTGTGCTTGGGATACAACACCATCTTCCTATCGGTCTTCGAAGCCCACCAAAATCTAAACACCACGCGCTAAAAACACCACTTAGAAACCACCCATAATATACTCATCAACATCCCTATTTAAATCCATCGGATCAATCTGATCAACACTCCACTCCCCTCCGTTCACATTCGCATCCGCACCAGGGTCCATGAACCGCCCACTCTCGCCGTTGGTGAAGCTATCTAGCGCTGGAAAATTGTGGGCATGCTGCTGCTGCGATCCGAAACCGTAACTTGCCTGTTTACTAATACTGTCGACAGATGCGGTGGACGGACTCTCATAGAGCGTAAAGTCACCACTTGGTTTGTTCATGCCCATACGCTGGTTGTGATAATGATCATACCCATCATAAAACCCCTCATCCATATCCAGATCCAAGTCCAGATCTAAATTCCGCTCGCGCTCCTGCGAATTGGGAGAGTAAAGCATCAAATTCCCCTGACCAGCAGGGGAGAGGTTATGGTTGATGTTAAGCTTCTGCTGTGGCTCCGGGCATGTTGGGGACGGATTCCGCGTGAAAGAGGGAAGACCGTGCACCTCAACTGATTGGGCTGGAGTGAGCAGCTGCATGTTCATGACTGTGTACTCGTTGTCGAGGTTATCAAAGTCGAAGTCGAAGTTTGGGGTTGCATGAGTTGGATCGAAGGCTGTTTCGTCCAGCAGACCACCAGATCCCATGGGTCCGGATCCATTGGGCGTGTTTGCACTCGAGGGCACGGAGGGAATGTGCATGTCCAAGCTCGGGACGTATTCATTTGGATCACTAGCTTCCAAGCTAGCCTGGAAAGCGCCAAAGTCCAACTGTGGGGCGAACGCGTTGTTGGTATTGAAGTCATCAAAAAGGTTATTGTTTGTGGTGGAATCCGGGAAGAGTTGGAAATCCTGATTTTGTGGATCTATCATGTCGTTCAGTGGGTAACCGCTAGGGGGGCTAGTATTCTGTAGACTTTGCTCATAAGGAGAGACACTGGGCAAGTAAGGGGACGGAGATGGGTGGGTCTGAGGGGTTGGTAGATCCATGATTCCAGAGTTGGGAGTTTGGATACTAGGGGTGCGAGGAGTGGGCTGGCCTGAGCCTGAGCCTGAACCTGAGCCTGCCACACGGCTACCACCTTTACCGTTATTTTTGGATCGAATGTAAAGCCATCCGTGAGCTTTCTCCATATGCTGCTTGCAGTTGCTCTGTCGCTTGGACTGGTAAGAGCAATTTTCGTAATAGCATTTGAAGAGAGGTGGAGATTTGGAGTGCTTGTCATTCACATGACGGTCTCTCTCCTTCTCAGTTGGCCAGCCGATTTTGAAATATTTGCATGACTGCTCTGCACACTTCCATGGTCTGGAATGGGTTTTCTCGTGTTTACTATCATATATATTAGCGAAAGGACGAATAAAAAAAAAAAAAAAAAAAAAAAAAAAAAGGAATAGAGAAGAGGTAGAAGAACATACGTAAGATCACAGGGTCTCTTGAAGACTTTATCGCAGTCCTTGCATTTCTGGTTTATGTCAAGGGGTGGTGCATTCTTCTTTCGTCGAGCCATCGAACGGGCAACGCCATCATCGCACGATTCCATGCTCAGTGTACGTTTTATCATCGGGATGACAGGAGATGCTTTTTCGTCGTAAGGCTTTCCCGTACGTAGCGAGATAGTTTGCTTGTCTTTCTTTCGCCGGACTAATTCTGCTGGGCGTCCAGTGACACTCAATCCCCCTTCAAGGGTGACTTCCTCATCACTAAGAGAATTTTGTGAGCCCAGGGAAATATTAGTATTGTCAATACGTAGAGGTTGCACATACGATGAATATTCGGTGTTATTTTCAGTGGTTCTCGAGCGGGGGCGGGGGCCCTGCCTTTCTCGAGAGGCGCCGACCATAGCGGCGTACTGACGCATCTGTTCGACTAGGTCAAGGAAATAGCCGTTCGTGTAAGGACGATCGTAAGGTCTTCGCTGGTCGCGATCATTCAAGTACCCGACGGTGGTGTGTAGGCACTGAATAGTAAATTCGCAGAATCCAATATAGGCTGCTTTTGATTGGGTGTACCGCTTTAAACGTTCATGGATCGTATGAGCAATGTCCGGTACATTATCAAGGCTGCGAATCTCACTCACTGGTGCTAGGAAAAGAATAATCTTTTCAAGGTCTCGAAGACACGAGATCTCTCTGCTCTCAATCCGGTTGGGCACCGTACGAATCAAGGGGTGGAATGGGGATAGTCGTTTTTCGCGAAGAATAGGAACGAGGATAAAACGATCGATGTTCTTGCGAGCTGCAACGCCAAAGGTGGGGACTTGAGGCAAGGATGCAGTGGATGATATAGATCTATTGATGGCTGATTGAGTTGAGATAACATTAGTCACCTGGTCTTTGAGTGAATGTGTAGCTTTGCGAACTGTAATCAAAGGTATAATAATTAGCAAGGGCATCTATAACGTTGTGCACCCATGTCAAAGAGCAACTCTTACCTTGTTCGCGCGTATCGGTAGTGGACGACATACTGGCGCCACTGATAGAGGAGCCAATTCCACTATCGCAGGAGTGACGGCGAGAGCGATCCTGATCACGGACAGCTTTGAAATCTCTATCTTTCTTTATTGAGTCTACTTCGACATTCATAGGGTCAGTGTTAGTCAATTGGGCGTCCAACAATGCACGTGGAAGAGGCGAGTCGTCATCACAAGAATATTTGTCCAGAGGAGGAGTAGAAAAGTCGCCTCCAAGACCGGAGATGTTACGCTCGAACTTGTCTAAGAATAGAGCCCTGCGTCTTTCGCCGGCAGCAATGACATCCTCCAGGGACCTTGAGCAGGTAGGGGAGCGTCGAAGCAGCGAGTGGAAGTTGGGGATCGGATCAGAATCCTCGGACGGCGGTGTCGTTGGAGAGTGGAAGGTGGCACCTTTCTTCAACGTCATGCTATGGGGTAGTGTTGAGCGACGACATGCTGGGTCCGACGACTGATCTGAAGGAGAAGAGGAAGAAGAAGAAGATATAGTCGAGAGGTGGGGGAGGTTCGTATTATAAAAAGGTCGACGACGAGAATGAACCCGGGGTTCGGACATACTTGCGACGGGGGGGGGGGGGGGGGTCACTGGCTTTATGTAGGAGAATAGAACGAGTTAGCACAGGAACGACAACAATACACACAGCAGCCCGCGTACACCCTTTCGTCTCCCCTCCCCGACAGAAGGAAACATGGAACGTAGTGACTGTTATGACTCACTTGGGATGTAAGAATAAAAATTGAGGCCACTATTCAGGATCGAGCACCGGGATCTGCAAGACGAAGCGTCTAGAAGGAGTCACAACGGCGACATCTCAGCGGATTTGTTCATGGACGAACAATATATATAAAACATGCCAGCTGGCCATATCAATTGACTTCGAGACTCATCGATCGCATTATACTGACCCTCGATTCAAAGAGACAAGCCGAGATAGCTGGCAAATCTATGGTGGGATTCTGACAACTGGATCCAATTTTTCTCAGATCTAGTAAATCCCCTGGTTGGACCATCCAATGGAGACAAATATTTAAACGGGAGATGAATCCAGGTGGAGGGAATAATAGGAAAAACAAAGACAAAAAGTGCTCAGAAAAGAGTCAGTTCTTGACAGTCAAAGAAGAAAAAAAGCACAAGGCAAACAGGCACTTGAGAGACGACACGAGTGGGTTGACTACTGGATGGAGAGAGGAGAGGTGCTCGGAGGATGGGGGTGACTGAGGACTACACGCTGAGGGAGGAGGGAAATGAGGACGAGACAAGGACACGGTGGTGGAGATGCTTGAGGTTAAGAGAGTACACGGGGGGAGAGAGACAACCTTGGAAGAGAGAGAGAAGAAGAGAAGAAGAGAAGAACAGTTGGGATCGTTCAAACACGAGACTGCGCAGCCCAGCGAGCGGGAGCCGCAGCCTGCCTGCCAGTTGCCCGCGTACGTACTGTCAGCGCTGGCCAAGGCGAAGCATCGTGTCTGCCTGATAGGCGAACCAGGACGTGTGCTGATTGGTGGAAACTCGCAGGCTAAGCTGACAGCCGGGGCCATCGCGGACCGCGCTAGGCTGCTTTGGGGGTCGGAGTTTGGGTCAAAGGTGCCTCCGATGAGCTTTGTCAGCGGTACGTGACGGGAAGAGTACAGATGGTAAAATACGATATCTGTATCGCTACAACGGATCTGCCCACTGTTTTCTGAATAATCGTCATTATATTTATATTTTAAATATATATATATATATATATCTGCCTATAGACTCGTTCAAAATTAGCTAAATCAAAGAAAGAGAAATGAAAAGACCCCACAAATTAGGTTGCAGAGTTCCTAAGAAAAGACACAACAACCCCCCCAGCTCCCCAGCTATACTTCCTTATCTACTTCCATCATTGCGCTTCCCGTGGCCCACAATCAACGCCAAAGCAACCACCACAGCCACAACTGTCTGTCAAGGGAAAACAACGAAAAAAAAAAAAAAAAAAAAAACCATCACCAAATACCACCTCCATACCAGCCATACACCTCCTCCGAGTCCATTTCAGCCGCTGTTTCGCGCCTCAATCTGGTGCAGAAATAGTTCGGTGACCTGAACAGTCTGCCGCTGGTCATTTCCATACCATACGACAAATGTCCCAGGAACCCCTAAAACTGACTGGCCTGTTGTTGGAGCACTGGCCCTGCTTTCCTGTTCTTCGCGGCTTTTGCTTATGACTGGCTCGGACAGTATTAATTTAGCGTAGTGCCATTATTGGTTCCCTGTCTGTTATCTGTCCACTGTGTCCAGTCACTAAAACTGATCCTTCGGACACAGGACCGGTCATCTTCTGGCTAGCAACTAATAAGTCCATAACCATGGCCAAGTTGCGTCACCAGGCGGTCGTCATCTGTCCAATATGCTCAAATTACAAAAGAGAACCAGGTGAACGAGAGGTGAGAAAGGAGGAAGAAGGTAATTCATTTCATGAATCCGCCAATGATAAGAAATTACATGTAAATGCATGCATCGAATCCTTCGGTATCTCCTGTCCATTGTTGGCGGGATCAACGTCCGAATTGCCAAGAATATCCCCGACTTTTAAGGTTTTGCGGCTCAAAATGCCAAGGAGCCAACTGGACAGTTCCCGCTCTCGTCGATTTCGCCACCAAGGTTGAACCCTTCCCTCGATATCAAACCAAAAAAAAAAAAAAAGGGGGAAAAGAGACAACATATGAAATTTGAAACTGGCAGGATCACGAAGCTTTGCACGGCCACATCATTTCTGGCCCTCATTATTTCTAGCCACTTCTGTTTTTTATGCAGACCAAGGACCAACCAAGTAAGGGCTTAGGTACTCAATCCCAAGCGGATCTGTCGAAACAGAAATGCGTGATGAACACCTAACCCACCCACCCCTTGGAAACTAAGAAAACCGCTGCCGCGAATAGGAGACACATGCCTGCGATGTGGACATGCGACGTGGACAAGAATGCAAAGCTCCTGCAGCGGGGGTTTCAAATGTTTCATCCCCAAACAAGCCAGCCGCAGCATAAATGCAAAGCAAGGGAGAAACAAAAATATGTAAACATACAACTTCCACGCTCCTATTGGCCGTTAACAACATGAACAAATTGCCTGCCTAAATTTTATGAGGCCAATCATTGAATTCGGATTGAAGGGAATAACGGTGCAACAACACTCAGGAACCCTCCCCCCGGCGCGGGGCACGAAGTCCTCGAGGCAGGTAGCATTGCAATTGCATCATGGCCTGCAAGAAAAAAAAAAATCTGGTTTGCCAGGCTGCCCCTTTGATTTCGTTTCGATTGAATCCTGCGGCTGCTGGCGGGGAAAATCAGGTATTTTGGAACCTGGAGGCGGGGGGAAATAACCCACCACGCGCACAAGATAATTTTAGATGCCAAAAAGAAAAGTAAATATTAGGATCAGGCTTCTGGATTTCAGCTTTGTGCATCCTGCACTAATGAGCCCACCCCTGCATACGACGACCGTTCGGGGGATTTTGGGCGATTCCGCATTTTTTTTTTTTTTTTACCTGGAAGAAAGTGATGCGACGGTTCACGCACGCTCTTGATTGAAGATTTTTTTTTTTTTTTAATGAACATACTTTTGTTAACTGTTAGTTAGAGTTGGTACTTGGAATCGAACAAGGATCAGGTGGAATGTTGAGAAAAACAACAAACTCCTCCCTGTCGAGATTCATTTTCGCTGCATCCCCCGACCCCAGTCTTGGCCTCCACCTGTGAAGAGAACATTGGGTAGACACCGTTCTCCTCATAAGAGAAAATTCCTCTTCAAAGCCACATCCCACCCCTCCTTTATCTACGGAGTACTCTATGTATGGATCATATAACTAGACAAACTTCCCAGAAGAACAGCAGAATCCTATTTGTCTTTCCCATTTGGGCATAGTGCGAACCTTGGCCCATGCGAGGCTCATTAGTCATGAAGCGGCTGAGCTTGCTGAGATAACACAGCACGTTGTTCCGGAAAACCGAGGCTTACTTCAACAACCTCAATCGAACCGGGCTTTGGGAAAATCACCCAGGCATCAGATCCAATCTCATCGCTGGATGGGAAACTGATCACATTCGTGGGGCAAATATGGCGCAAACTGGAAGGTCGGCCTGAGTCCCGCATTTGTTTGATCGAGGTGACTGCGCGGGCTAGGGTGCGCATTGTTCGCGAAGGCTCGCAGACCGAACCCTACCAAGATACCCAATTCCAATTTTCCCCCGACGGGACGCAGATTTCCTTCCTGTCCAACCGGGGAAAGAAAGGTGGGATATCGATGTCGTTTGCTTCCTGGAGATTATTTTTGACAACTGGTTGAAATACCTGGTACAACGACTAGCGCTGTCGAGTGGGCCAGATGGCATTCAGACAGCGTAAGACTATTACTTGGGACAGCTGAACCCAGAGCCCGTGACGAAGATATACTTTCCTGGGCACCGGAGGTTCAGGCGGAGAGCTGTGACGGACCTTTGCGTTCGCTGGTGATGTATGACTGTGTGAGAGAAAAGACAATTCCTGCAGCCCGTTTATCCCAAGCTACCGTGTAGGAGGCTACGTGGTGCGGACCAAACCATGCCGTTGCAATTGTCTCAGACGGGTTCACTGAATCGGCCTGGTACTCGAGCCGTGTTTCTATAGTCGACTTGCATCAGTGGGCTGAACGAATTATATATCGCCCGCCGTCACCTAGCCAAGTAGCGGGCGTCGCATCATCAAGGTTTGGAAAGTATGTTGCTTTTTATCAAGGCTTTAAGTAATTCTCGAAAAGGTGTTGTGGGGAATGTGGTACTTGTGGATGTTGACAATTCCGAATCTCAGCAATTGCAACTCGGGAGCGTCGATGTTACCCGCGTGTCATGGGGTGGATGAAACCAAACTTTTCTATACCGGACTAAATGGCCCTAGTACAGTCGTGGAGGAAGCCGACGTGGTCACCAAACCAACTACTAAGCTGTGGACGGCGGAATCTGCAAGTTACAGAGCAGCACCTTTATCTAGTGGCGGCTTTGCCATTTTTACAGGGAGCTGGGCTCAATACCCGCAAATTTCTAGGCTGGATATGGGAAAAACGACAGTAATACACTCACTCCTTCGTGGACTCAGGAAAGATCTGGCTCAAGTCTGAACTAGGTGAAGGCCGCACAGTGACTTGGAAAGCCCCTGACGGGGTAGAAATCCAAGGTTTCCTCCGCCTCCCAAGCTGGGTCGAGCTCCCTATCCGCTCATAATGCATTGTCACGGCGGACCTGTCTCTTGCCTCAAGGACACATGGACAGATATTGATATCAGCCCCTTTCTCGCCGCAAATGGGTACGCCGTATTCTGCCCGAACCCCCGTGGCTCGACAGGGCTTGGCCAGGATTTCATCAGCCAGGTATACGGCGACATGGGCGGAGCGGGATCGAGCATCTGAACCAGGCCGGATTGGCACCTAGGTCCCGGATTGACGTAACGGGCGGGAGTTACGGGGGCATCATGACACATTGGATAGTAACACAGACAGATATATTTGCGGCTAGAGTCGCCCTCGCGCCCATTTCAGGTTGGGTGTCGCTCCACAGTACCTCAGATATTCCAAGCTGTGACCGCATGTTGCTCGTTGCAGAGCCGTACACTGTGGGTGGGGGGGTATCAAAAGAGTAGGCCACTGATATTTGCGGGAAGGCACTAGACACCTATTTTACAGATTGCAGGAACGCATGATCCGTGTACTCCACCTACGCAGGCTGTGATGTATCACCTAGCATTGGTGGAAAAGGGGGTGGAGTCTGTGTGCGTACTGTATCCCGGTGAGGGGCACCGCATTCGCAGGTTCCCGGCGTACGTTGACTATTGTGCGAGGTTGCTGGGTTGGTTTGAGCAACGTATGCCCGTGAACATGTGCCCATCAGGTAACTGTTATCAAGATGACGTCTGTAGTTGATTCTGTCCTTTTCCCTCCATTCCGGTTAAATTTATTCTTGCCTTCCTTTTTCACGTTGTTCTCTTTTCGGTATCAAGAGAGGACGAAGCCTAAGAGCCGGGAACATGGTGTACACGGCTTAAATCTAGGGCAAAAAGATACCCATCCATATTTTAGAGGCCTGATGTTTATTTTTTTGGGCCTTTCGGTTTGCGATATTGAATTATGCCTGTCATTACCTCCTTATTTCTCAAAACCAAGTATATTGTGGGTGATGATGGGCTATGCGCAATGTTTCTCTCCTAAATGCTTTGTAGTTCCGGACACTAATAAATAAGAGAATGGGAGACTGGTTACCATCTCCGGCCATTTGTTTTTTAGTCCCTCCATTTGCTGCACACAGACTGTTTTGTGATTCCGATATCACCAGCTGTTACCGTAGTTTCACTTCGTTTTCGCAGAGGCTCATCGGGATATTGTGGCCTAGCTTGTTAATTGGCGCTGGCATTCCAATATTTTCCTTTTCCTGGGTTGCAGTCTACTTTTTCAGGCTCCCGTGGAGGAAATGATTCTGCTCGATACTGTCTGCCATAGACAACAAAAACAGTGCGTGGATCATTATCAACTCTGTAGCTTTTTAGAGAGTGTGTGCTAAATCCGACCTCACGCATTGATTCCCTGCAGAATGCCCTGAAAATGGCTTCAATCGAAGCATGGGAACTAATTTCACGTCAGCATGTGAAGACGAGCTTGTAGGAGAACAGCTCGCAGCAGCGCGGTGAATTAACCTTGACATTCCCATGACAGCCCCACGAGACTGCTGTATAATCATCATGTGCAACTTGGGAAAAAAAAAAAGTAAATATTCCTAGAACTAGATTTGTTGTGGTTGATACTTGACTGCGTAACTGGTTGAGGCGATGAAGCGCGCTCTTTGCCGTTTTTCAACATGCGCGTGCGAGAGTGACCCAACATTTGCATAAGTAAACAACCGCCCAAGGTTAGCAGGCAGGAGTTAAGGCTATGTGATAGGTGACCAGGTAGCTCCGAATTGCTGGGGAGGGACCTGGTATAAGGAGGTCATTGAAAGCCGGGGGGGTGCAACAACCAGAAATAAAAATAAATAACTTGGCGTGCTAGGGAGTTCATAAATTTTGGGCATTATTGCCGAAGTGATAACACCGCAAGAGATCCGTATCCGGCTTTCATCGTTCCTTTTATTCCTACAGACTGGCAATTGTCGTCTATTTAATAGTTCCTAGTCGTAGATTCTCACCCGGTTGTGATTTTTTGCGTCTGAGGTTTGGCCGGCGCGCTGAACCTCGGCATCGGGACGGGGGGATTTGGGCGTGGGAAGCAAGCTGGTCTGTCGGCCACGGAACCGCCGCTGCAACACCAACACTCTGCTTCGCATCTACAGGTTTTCATCTGTCTTGATCGCACCAGCCGTGCTTATCTATGTTACGCCTTGTTGTTGAATTTACATGAACGTATGGTGAGGAAGACAGGATGGAGACAATTTCGCGGGGTTCTACGGACTTGAAGCGTCGCCGGCGGAGGGAAGGCCTTCGACGACGACAAGCGAACAAGAACGCCGTATCTGGGAGACTGGTGCTTGATCATCATGCACGAGGGGATGTTGGAACCCTTTCTGATGATTTAGCTACATATTTGTTTCCAGGGTCGAGTATCGAAGGTACGTCTACGCCTTGTGACTCTGATCATACCCTGGACCAAGCTCTTTGCGCAGGAAATATACTCTGAATGTAGACTGGATCACTTATACTGATCGTGTCATAGCTCTAGCGGAATCACAGGAAGTGCGATATATCGCCATATCTCCATGGTCACCGCATAATCTCCCGGTGGAGGATTTGCCGTGGACCTTTCTCCCGGTTCGCCTCCAGTCGCCCGCTAAATCCCAAGCTTCGCCAATATCCCATTCGACCGTCCATTTCCCAGCATTTGGTGGATCAATCCAGTCATTTGTTCAAGCACTCGAGACACTTGACCCAACTCGCAACTCTATATCGAGCCAACGAGCAATCGAAATTCATGTGCTGGACGTCGTCCCGCTTTATCTAGATACAATCTATGTGACGGTGGAGCGCCATCTGCTCAGCACAGTGGATGAGATTCAAAATAAGTTCGGTGGGGGCTTCGGTCCAGGAACACAGGGGATCAATGGCCTCTGGGCCAAGGGACGGAGCCCAGAGAACCTGATAAAAAAGTCTTCCAAAGAGACGAAGGAGGCTGCTGCTGAAAGAGAAGAGCGATTAATCGGTGTTATTCGTGAGGCGATTTCCGCACAAAGGATATTACATGCGGGGGATTTACTTCCTCTGCCGTTACCTTCACATCCTATCACATATGCACCACCCCCACCTGCCAGAATTTCTTTCTGCGAGCCTGTGTCTCAAGGCCTAGTCAAACCTACTACTCGAATCGTCCTTGTCCAAACCAAATCGCAGCAACAGTCTCGTATATCTAAGGGTCTGCCATCTCCAGGCCAGGCGCTGTTAAAAGAGGTGGCAGAAGATGAAGCAGACGATACCTCAAATGAACAGTTTTATTCGGCCGCGGAAGAGAAATCGAACGGCACAGATATGGAAAGTACATCACCACCTGACGAATCCGACACAGACACTTCTGCTCAGAGTTACAGCGATGGTTCTGACGACTCCTTGGATGATATGATCTCGTTGGCAGCCCCCGAGCTGCCACAACAACCTTCAGGGACAATGTCCGCAATGACCTCTGCGACTCCGCGCCCAGGTGACAAGAGATTCGATGTCCATACCCCAGGGTCAATGCTCTCCAGCTTCACAAGCGCCACTGCGCGTACAGGAAGATATGCTGGGAAAACATTCCGAGCAGAAGGACTGATGGAGAGAATACCTAATGATATTTTGCACCCTAAGCCACGAGAGTCCGAAGATTCCGACTCCTTCGTTTACGTGGATATTCACACACTTGCCAAAATCGGCTGTTTTTCAGGTGACTGGGTTAGGATCGAAGCTGCTGAGGAACCTCAGCTCAATATGCTATCTTCTCTAAAGTTTGATGGCCTGAACAGGCTTACGGAGAATGCTGCTGATGATATGACTTGGAGGGCTGTAAGGGTTTACGGTCTCCCAGGACTAACATCTCCAAGACCGCGATATTCGAGACGATCAACCATATCGCAGATGCCATCCCATGGGCTTACTCCTACTGTGCTAGTGCCACCCATCCTGTTAAACAATCTAGAAAACCCCAAATACTTAAAACTTTCTCCGATATTGGTTCATGGGTCTCACCATTCGAGCTCAAGGCCTGGGATTGTACAATCAAAATCAAGTTCACCCAAAACACCGCCTGTTGCTAAAGAAGTTACCCTACTTAAAATTTCCACACCCCTTTCTATGGACAGGTCCCTCCAGCCAGTTCTCTTTGCTGGATTAAAACGCCATTTTGAATCAAAGCAACGGCTAGTGAAGAGCGGTGATCTCATTGGAATAAGCGTTGATGAAGGACTAGGAAAAACAATATTCTCCTCTACGAAGGGCCCTGAACCTGGTGAAGATGATGATGTGACGGCTCAGCTTGGTTTCTCTCCTGATTCGCAATCGAGACCCCAGAACGCATTGAGGAAGGTGGGCGTTGCATGGTTTCGTGTTAGCCAGGTTGTCTCTGCTCTTGTAGAAGGATTAGAAAACGGCTCTGAAGATGAGCGATGGGGGGGAGTGGCTGTCATTGATACTTCTTCGACAAGAATGGTACAGGCCGGAAGTGTAATAAGTACCATACCCGGGACATTATATAATGGGTGGGAGTATTGGCTGGGTGTGAAGCCGCTGCCCAAAACGTGTAGTGATATAGGAAAGTCACGTTCCTTCGTCACAGAGCCTTCCACGATATTTGTCCCTGCAGTACAGAAACGCCTTCGGGAGCTTATTTCTGCATCTACAAGCCCTAGGGCAATCCAATTAGGCATGAAACCAGTTGTTATCCTACTTACTTCTACCCAGCGGGCCATTGGGAAATCAACGGTTGCTCGGCGTGCATGTGCCGAAGTTGGTATTCACACATTTACGATCGATTCCTACGATATTCTGGCCGAAGGAGGAGCAAATGGGGGAGACGTGAAGACGGAGGCTTTCCTTAAAGCCAGGGCGGATAGGGCATTTACCTGTGGAGCAAACTCCACTGCTTTGCTAATCCAGCATATTGATGTCTTAACGGCTGATAGGATGGTTACAGCAATGAAGGAGATCGTGGCAGACGCGAGAGTTATCATCGCTACAACGACCGACGTTGAGAAAGTTTCCGAGGGCATTCGAAGCGTTTTCACCCATGAACTTGAAATGACAGCTCCAGAGGAAAAGGAAAGAGAAGGGATCCTGCGAAACGTGATCTATGACCAAGGCATCAAAGTTTCAGCTAACGTCGACTTGGCATCAGTCGCAGTGAAAACCGCCGCTCTCGTTGCGGGGGATCTTGTCGATGTCGTTGAGCGTGCTGTTGCTGTT